GGACATACCCTCCACACCGTACATCCCCCTTCTCCTACTCAAGTGGCACGCTCAAGTTTCGCATTACAAAGATTCGTAAACGTCTTTCATTTTTTTTTATAAATTGAGGGAGACAGCTCAATGAACACCCGATATTTGTGAAATCGAACAAATATTCGCAGATGAGTCGTCGCAGCCGCCAGTACTGCGTTGCGCTCAATACCAGCAACGTAATGAGCACCCTGGCAGGCGGAAGTTCCGCGACTGTGGCTTTCCCCGATCGCTTCGCGGTAATGAGAGCGAGCGCCCTTACAGGGGCCCCCTCTGACGTCACTTCTGGCCCTATGACGTCATGACGAGTCTACCGGCTCGAGCAGGCGGCGTCACTACCTGACGTAAGATCTCATCGTCTGCTAACGCGGCGGTATGTTGTCAGCGTCATCGTTATTGGCGTCGTGAAAGTAATCAGAATAACTGGTAATCAAGCAACGATACTTTCCGGAAGGATTCCTTTTTCTATTGCTTCCTATTTTGTAGCCTAATTATGACGCTCATTGCTATTTCTCATAAAATGACGGAATCTTTTCTTGTTTTATCGCTCTTACTATCGGAGATCACTTACACATATCAGTAGTGAAGCAATGATAAAATTACGAATTGGTTACCTATCATTACGTGGCGCCCATTAATTGGTATAATTGGTTAATAGTTTCCAGGAAGATGGGGTTGATCCAGCGATTAAACTGATAAAATGACGGAGTCTCTTCCTTGTGTTGTAGCTTATACAGTCGGAGATTACTTACATATATCTGTAGTGAAGCAATGGTAAAGTTAGGAATTGGTTATGTATTTCGCGTAGGCACAGTGTTTAACTATGTAACCCCACCTGGCCTTAAAATATTGCCAGTTCTAATACACACGCACACTCACAAAAAAGAGAAGAAATAAAGCGAGGTGGTGCTTAATTAAGAAACAGTTCCGAGTTTACTATATAAAAATAAAATCTTGGCTTCTTTTTGTTTTTAAAATTGCCAACCACTCACATGAGAATTTTTTAATACTTATATTTTGCCGTTTTTAAACAGTTTATTTCGAATTAATAAAAAAAAAAAGAGAATATTTGATACGTGCCGCGGTAACACTAGCGTTCTGCTCTGATAACCGAATCACGTTTTCGGATGACCCGCAGCTTTTTCCTCAGTAGAGTACTAGTGTTCGCCGATGCGCGCACGGTGTGGACGCGCGACATGCACGGAGAGAACCGTTAATACTGAGAGAGTCTGGTCAATGGGCGGAGCTTGTTGCCCGCTGGAACCAGCGGATTACGCGATTACACAAAATGGCGTTACTTCTTTGTCTCGTTTATTCCTGAGAAATCGCATGAGTTCCTATGAGTCAGAGCCACAAAATGGCGGACGGAAGTAGACATCCCTTGGTTGTCAAGACTACGCTGCTGTGGTTGCCTGGATGTCAAAATGTCTTTAAGAAGGCCGGACTCCCTCAGTATAAGCGACTCGGACACGGAACGACGCTGACGCCACCTGCCGCCTGCACTTCAAGACGTGCATTCCCTCAATGATGATGTACGGCGCAAATCGACGCCGGACTGTGCACTCTACCGAATACATTGTACAAAGAGTGGTATGCCTATGAAGACAAAAATTAGCAGCGACTTTCGTTTTCGAGACCACGTCAAGCGTTGGATACAGCATCTAGGGGAGCAATCGTTTAAATTTGTTTAGAGGACATTGAACTGTTCCGGTCACTATATATCTTAGACGAATGAGGCATTCATTAATGCGAAAACATTAACTGTCTCGTGGAGTGAGCTGACGTCATCAGTCTGAAGCGCGAAAACGGCAGATAGTTTCCTTCGGTTCCATTGGCTGGCGCGCGTCGACGGGGTTCCCATTGGCCGCTGCGCTCGTCAGTTTCCACGACCGCTCACCCATGGCGCTGCGTGTCCATCAGCGTGGAGCATCCAAGGTCACCAGGGGAGCACACGCGCCGACCGGCAACGAAAAGTACGCAGCAGACGAAAAAGGGAGCGGACGAGCGCCTTGCTCGCTTTCGCATTCACAACTCATAAGGAATGCTTAGGTGTTCCTCGATCTTTCTTCATTTCACCGCTAAACTTGGCAGAAAAATTAACGGCACGTGTCGTCATGATGTCGTCTGACATCGGGACCCGACATCACAACGTCGAGGTGTCACGCGACTTGGTGTCACGTGACGTCAGGACACGTATACGTCGGATCTCCCGCTGAATTCACCGGGAAGTTTGACGTCATGCCGTCAAGTCGCGGTGCCACGTGATGTTGTGACGTCGTGTTACGTTAATTTTTCCTATACATTGATCGGGCAAGTGGACAAATGAACGGGCGAACAGACACATTTTCTGGAATTAGGAATTTGTTTTAGAGAAATATTGATGATGCGAGATTAGTTTTAAATTCTGCGCGCAAAATCTATGACGTCACGGAATGGTCATACACTCTCTCCCCCTCAACGTGAAGGAGAAGCCGATCGACTTCTCCACGCGCCCGAGATGCCAAAAGAAAAATGAGAGACGTTTCCAATGCCCTGTAACGCCGAATTAGAGCGCAGCTCTTGAGAGGAGGGTATGCCCCTCCTCCTCATTCGTACCCTCCCCTCCTCCTCGCCTCCCTTTTAGGAGAAAATTTCCCTCTAAATTTAGCGAGGAATTTTTTCCGCTAAATTTGGCGGGGAAATTTACCCATTAGACAACGCGCGATGACGTCACGAGTGACGTCATTGGTGACCCTCGTGACGTCACGTGTAACGTCATCCATGACGTGACTGGTGACCCTCGTGACGTCACATGTGACGTCACGTGCAACGTCATCATGGGAAGCGTCCCATAATGCACTCCGCGGTCACGCCGACGGCAACACCGCTCAAACCGGAAACGGGTGTCTAAGAGCTGCGCTCTAAAAACTAGTGGAAAGAAGGTGACTACCGACTTTATCGCGTCTTGCGCTGTCAATATTGCTCTAAAATTATTTTTTTCGCGTAAAATCAATTTTTCGACACGCGTGTCCCAACCAGACTATATATACAAAAAAAAAAAACATTTTAGAGCTCAGCTCTAAGGCCCCCGTTTCCGGCTTGAGCGGCGTCGCTGTCGGCGTAACCGCGCGTTGCATTATGGGACGTTTTCCATGATGACGTCACACGTGACGTCACGTGTGACGTCACGAGGGTCACGAGAGAGGAGGAAAAGAGTATTTTCCGCCAAATTTAACGGAAAAATGTTATCGCCAAATTGAGCGAAAAAATTCCCGGCTAAAATTAGCAGAAAAATTCCCCGCTAAAGTTAGCGGAAACAATTTAGCGGAAAAAGTTCTCCGCTAAATTTAGCTGAAAATTTTCCCGTTAAATTTAGGGGAATAATTTTTCTGATAAATTTAGCGAACAAACTTCCCCGCTAAATTTAGCGAAAAAATCTTCCCGCTAAATTTAGCGAAGTAATTTCCCCCTAAAAGCGAGGAAATTTTTTCGCTAGCGGGGAATATTTTTCTTATAGATCTAGCGGAGAAATTATTCCACTAAACGTAGCGGGGAATTTTTGCCGCTAAATTTAGCGGGGAAACTATTCCGCTAATATTAGCGGAAAATGTTTCCCGCTAAATTTAGCGGGGAATTTTTTCCGCTAATTTTAGCGAAAATATTCCCGCTAAATGGGAGGGGAGGAGGGGCATAGCCTCCCCTTCGTACCCTCCCCTTCTCCTCCTCAAGAGCTGCGCTCGAATTCGGCATTACAGGGAGTTGTAAACGTCTTTCATTTTTTATTTCTTTTCAGGGGCCTTTTAAAAGGCAATTCCGGTCAATTCAGAAAATTCTGAGATTACGGGTTGGCTACTAATAAAGCTACTAATAAACGGTTCTATTTCGTTTGTTTTCTTAAAAGATAAACAGTTTTGTCGCCAAACCTCGTTTGCAACAGAATAAGTCTTCCAGTTGTTGACTTTCCATGCAGTGTTGCCTGTGTCCACACGGCTGCGTCGACCGCGCTGCTCCGCGTGCCGCGCGTAGCCCGTTAGGTTGAACGGATTTTTGTGGCCGTGCAGCCGGTACAACTTCTTTGGCCGGTTTAATAAACTTTTAGGCGGAATCGCGTCGTAATATTTTACGTTTAGGTTTTTCAGAGGATACGACGTGTCCTACGTCGTATCCTCTGAAAAACCTTGTTTTTCTTTGTTTTCTTTGCTTTGTTTTCTCAACATAAAAGTTTGACTGGAGTTGCCATTTAAAAATACGAAAGTTCGTTCGTGACTTTCTTGCAGAATTCCAGAGCGATCTGGCATACTTCCAGCAACCAAGCATTTCTTATCGATAACAGATATGAACCTGTGTTCACGTCCGCACGCGCGCGAACAGTAAGACTGATACGCATCCGCGCTTTGCAGATGCAATCCTCAAGTCAGCTCAGCCACCTCTTGGCGCCCAACCCCCATCGCCCCGGAAAATGGGCCAACCCTCACGTCATCGATAGTACACAGACGATTAAACAGCCAAGATATCTTTTCTCAGAGATAAGCCGACTTACCTACACAGCAGAGGCGCGTTCAAGCCCTAAATACAATATTTTACAATATTATCTGGTTGTGACTGAACGTGTAGATTAACGATCAACCTGCCTTTTCCTTCGGTCCATTTCGGTCTTGGAACTATTTTATTTATACAAATTGTTTTTAACAATAGCCCCTGAAATTTGTCATCGAACTGACAAGTCCATAGTTCAAAAAAAAAAAAAAAGTTTCACTCGAAAGTCACTGAATGTTATTACAGAAATGCATATATGTTTCCGTTTGTCAACGGGCCCATTTTACAATTGTGCGCGCCGTCGAGTATAGGTGCGACAATTATGCTCAGTTGACAACGCGCTTTAGCCTGCCGTAATGCAAAATGCACTTTTTGTATCGGCTGGCCCGTTGTCGGTGGCGTGACTCCATTCACCGTCCGGGGTCCGGTCCTATCGGACTAACAAACGACAAACATTGCTCGAAGGCGTTTTATATACGCTTTGTTAGAAATTTCTTACCCCTTGAACTTTACGAACTGGCCGCAAGAGAGCAGGTTGGCGAGCGAGGAGCACAACAGAGAGGGTGATCTTGCCTCAACAACGAACAAGAGTCGTTGTTGCGTAGTAGGACTATAGGCTATCACGACATATATGCACTGTCATGTAAGACGCTCCGAGGAACTGATCGTTCTTCGCACGCCGAAAACTTGCTGCAGTACAAACGTCATTTCCACCACATGAGGCTTGCATGGCCTGGTTCAGGTGAAGGAGACACTCGCGATACACCTTCATTGTTTACGTTTGGCGCACTATGTTGAGCCACGGTGTACTTCAGCAGCATTGGCTTAGGATCTTGCAGAAATGCCAACCCCAATTTCTGGTGCCAAACAAACCTAAGGGTTCAGCAAATGCACCAACCATGCCGTGTACTAACTACACTGTGCTGAACCGAACCATCACCAGCGTTCAGTGGAGATCATTTAACAGCAAATTTAGTATGCTGTGCCGAAAATCCAATAATCTCAAGGATGCGTCAAGCTTGCTGCAATCCGCACTATGCTGAACTGTTGAACGTTAGCCGGACATCCTTACTGAAGTATTATATTAAGTTTGTGGTAGCAACCAACACAATATTCACAAAACATCATCAAGCTTGCTTTGCACAGCACTATGTTGAACTCGGTCTTCGGCAGCGCTTTCTGGACATCTTGTAGAGAGAGCCAACCCAATTTGCGGTGCAGACGAATACAATAGTCCGGAGACAGCATCAGGCTTGCCATGCTGAGCAGGTTCTTCTGCCACATTCCTTGAGGGTCTTGCAGAAGCAGCCAACCCAATTTGAGGTGCCGACAAGTGCAGCAGACCTAACGCAGCATCAAGTTTGCCGCGTTCCGCACTGGGCTGAACTGCTTCGTCAGCAACGCTGTCGGCCGCTGATGAACTGACCTCCGCCGTGCTCCCACCCTCGCTGTCTTCTGCGTCGCTGCTTGAGCCCTCGTCTTCGCTCGCCGGGTTCAGCGAATCCTCCGTAGCGTAACCACTGCCGTGCTCGTTGGCCACATGGTCCACGGTCACCGGGCTGTCACAACTTCCGTTTCGGAGGTGTTCGCGTTCGTCGGCGGAACACGTCACTTCTGCCGGTGTCCGCACACTCTCAGCCGGGACCACGACCGACGTCAGGAGCCGATCCTGGACTGTTCGGCGGCGGCCTTGCCGCTGCCGCTTCAGGGTCCTCCAGGCGTCCGGAAGACCTGCGGTTGAGAGGGGTTTGGAAGCTGGAAAGGGAGCGACACCTGCTTCAAAGGGAGAGGGAAAAAAGACCCTCGTTTTAGTTCCTTAAAAGCAGCGTCGCACTGCACAGACATCATGCAAAAGACACAGGTGTTCACTGCAGATGTGATGGCGGCATTATCTGCAAACACACCTTGAGCCATTCGAAGCACGTTTGTTTTACCACATATGTGTGTTTCAAACATGTCTGCAGATAATTTTTGTACGACCAATGTGACACACAATAAATGCACATGCCTCAGACTGTCTGCAGACTATCGTTTGTTGATGTACTTGCAGCATGACCGCAGCCTAAGTTTTCTTTCTCTCTCACCCACAGATTGGCTTCTGTTTCAACTGATAAGATTTCCCGCCTAAAGCCTAAATGACCACAAGCTATGGCAGCTGTTAACGCTGAAAAAAAGTTGCTGTGTTTGTAGCATTTTTTGTAAGATTATAAAATAACTATAGCTTGCTTATCTTTCAAAAGAGCTGTCATTGACGATCAGGCTTCGCATCTAGCAAATCTTATTTGTGCATGTGGGTAGCAGATCTTCCCGCGAAAACGTCAAAACTTTAGTGCACGCAGCTTTAATTATTCTTTAGTCAGTTACAGCTAAAATAAAACGCGCAGTATTATTGTTTCATAAGCCAATCAAATTGCGACATCAGCTGATAAAAACGAGCAAGAACGAATCGCCAATTAAGAACTATAATCGCAAGAGACCACGCATTGCGTTTCTTAATCTGGCAGTGACTATAGGTGGCGCAGGCTACCGTCCAATTGAAAGGGCTCAGCCATCTTCATCCGTCTCTGTATCCATCAATCATTCAGGTGGAAACAAATCATATTAAGTCCGACCACACGCCACGATTCGATGGAGCCAATCCAGCAGCGCCAAGAAGTGCGCTGTCATGGCGCTCGGTAGTCATCTTAGTGTGTATGTTATCACCAGCTAAACCAATCCAAAGCTTAAGTTCGTTTGCTTCTTTTGTAAATATTTCGGTGACGTCAGAAAAACACCGAGCTTCGATTGGCTCTGATTGTAAGTATATTCTGTAAACCTGGAAGCTTCGAGGTCTACCCGGTATCCTTCAATCAGAGCCAATCAGCGCTCGGCATCCTTCTGACGTCACCACAACCCCTGTATAAAGAAGCAGACGAGCTCGCGCTCCGCATTACGGACAGATTAGCAAGCGCACAAGGACAAGGCGCCGTGACGTCGATGCAATTTTAGCGCCGCTCGATTGGCTAAGTCTGATCGTAGTATTGACTGCGGTCGGACCTGGAGGGAAAGGTGTACGGAAGATTTACGCCTCGGGTCTGACGCACTCTTGCCTGGGAAGTTGCCGGCGTCGCCGCAACGGTTGACCAGGAAAAACAGTGTCCCCGCCACCAGCATCATGAGGGCCAGGACTCCGAACACGATGCCTACGATGAGGCCTGCGCTGGGTCCCGCGTTTCCGGAGTGCCGCTGTCCCACGGGGCCCTTGGCCTGGAGCCGGCGCAGCATGTCGAAATAGGACTGCACCATGGACTCGAGTCCCTGGTAGAAGAGGCAGTTGCTGAAGTGGCCGCGGCTCTCCAGGTAGATCTGATCCGCCACTTCTTGGGGAAACACGTCCGCCACCGCCGGTCCAACCAACGTGTGCGACTGGACACCAATCAAAACGACGACAAGGGTTAAGGAACAACAACAACGATAGGACCTATACTTAGGATCCGGCTAGAGTCTACCATTAGTCACTGACAAGACGAGAACGGCCCCCTATATACAGAAAAAGCCTGGCAGATCGCCACGAGAAGCGGCCGCCGAAATGGAAAAGGGCAGACAACGGATGAGAGGAGAGCCACGTGACTGGCGCCCCGCTGCGGCGAGACGCCGAAACACACTTCTCCCGAGCGAACAAGTGTGTTTCGGGTCCTCGCCGCTGCAAAAGCTGTGCGCTGACGTCCAGGTTCCTTGAGAAATGGTTCTTTGATGCTCTGTGCTACCAGATCTTCGCGCCCTAAATCTGCGGTCGGGCATTCTTTTACCATTAATTTTACCACCATTAATAATAGGGAAGTATCCGGTACCGAACTTAGCAATAAATTTAATGACTACTTTGTCAGTGTGGGAAGCAGTACTTATAACAGTACAGCCATAAGTAATTTTACCACCTGCAATGAAACCATTTTTTTAAATCCTACCAATGAAGGCGAAGTTTTCTCCACATTTATGAACATAAAAAATAGCCGTAGTCATGACTGCGAGGATCTCCAAATCGGACCTGTGAAATTTGTCTTGGATTTGATACTTCCGTGCTTAACTCATTTGTATAATCTTATATTATCATCCGGTATCTTCCCGAAGAGGATGCAGATTGCTAAGGTTTCTGTTCTTTATAAAGGTGGGGATAGGAATGATCTGAGTAACTACCGTCCAATTTCCATCCTTCCTATATTTTCAAAGCCCATTGAAAAAATTATGTGCTCTCGACTTTTCAATTTTCTGGGGAAATACTCTTTGTTGTCGGAATCACAATTCGGCTTTAGAAAACATAGGTCCACAGAAACAGCTTTACTAGTACAGAAAGAATTAATATTAGAAAATTTTGAGAATAAACTTTTAACTTTAGGGATATTCATAGACTTTAGCAAAGCGTTCGATCGGATAAACCACCAGACTCTTCTTGACAAGTTAAAATGTTATGGTATACGTGGTATACCTTTATCACTTCTTGCGTCCTACCTAGAATATCGCCACCAATATGTTCAGATTGGAAACTCGTCATCCAACATGCAGCGTATTTCGTCTGGGGTTCCCCAGGGAAGCATATTAGGTCCCCTGTTGTTTATTATTTACGTCAATGATATTACAAAGATAGAATCTTCCGCCAGGCTGATTATGTATGCAGATGACACCAGCATCTTTTTTTCTGACTCAAGAGAAGACCTACTCACTTCCAAAGGAAACTATTTTTTACGCAAGTTAACACACTGGGTCGCCATTAATTCTCTATCAATAAACCCGTCCAAAACAAAAGCAGTCCTTTTTAAATGTCCAGGATCACGGATCACATTGTCCAGAGATTTGTACTTTGGGCCAAATATAGTAGAATGCGTTGACAGCGTGAAGACCCTCGGCGTTGTGTTCTCAGAACACATGTCGTGGAATCCCCATGTATCCTACATACATAAAAAACTTTGTAAAGTAGTAGGGATAATGAACAAATATAGAAATGTATTTCCTGTAACTATAAAAAAATTAGTATATAATTCCCTTTTTCACTCAATTCTTTGTTATTGCCACCTGGTATGGGGGACAACAACAAAAAGTAACTTTGACAGGTTGAGGTTAATGCAAAAAAAAGCAATAAAGATAATTGAAAATGTCCCACGTGACCATAGTTCTCTTCCTTTATTTGCAAAGCATACAATACTTGACGTATCTAACATGTACTCTAATAGATTAACGGTCACATATCATCGTGCCTTAAGAGAACATATTACAGTAATTTTTGACCTCGCTAAACTTGAAAATAATGTATCATTATATTCCTCACGCCATTGGCGTCCATGGAGAATCCCATCATCTAGAACTAATTTTGGCTTCCAGAGGTTGAGTTACAGATTACCGTCACTGTTGAACACCTTATATTCCCAAGAAGTTGATTCACCTTCATTAAATGCCCATAGAACTGAGGCTTTCTTATATTGAGTGAAAATGTTTGTCATATGTTTGGTATATTTTCTACTTCAGTCTGTTTTTGAAGCGCAACCTATTTCCTATGACACTTATTTTATGCGATATCTTATATAAGTTATCTTTATTGTGTTTTTCTTTCGTGTCTGGAGATGAGTGTTGGTAAACTTTCGTTAAATGTCCATAAAACTTAAACTTGCCGGTAATAAATAGATTCTTTGCCTTATGTTTGTTATATCTATCTATCTCAATGTGTATTGAGACGATGCTTAATATATTGCTAAATATCATGTTACATCAGTTATTTTCACTGTTTTTTTGTGTGTGTTTTTGATGACAGTGCCGCTCTGCCCTGTGTTTTTTGGGGGGCAGGAACCCGTCAAGCTGCAAACTTGCAGCTTTTTTTCCTGGCCCCCCTTGTCACATGTGTGTAAAAGCGCTGTGACAAATAAACTGATTCTGATTCTATGGCTCCGTCGTCGAACTGCCAGGCTTTGTGAGTATAGAGGAGGCTATGGCACGACAGAAGGCGATGGGTGCGTGCTGGAGGACGGGCGTTCGCAAGACGCGCCCTGCCTTTCTTGGTACTTCGGTGACCGTACATAGAGATGTTATTTGTGCTTGCTCGAGTTCAGGTTTCAATGAAAGTGTGTGGAGGTGCGCGTGGGGGAGAAAGTTGGGTCGCTGTCGTCGATTTTGTATCGGCACTCGCCTCGTACCCTGCCTTTTTTTCAGGCGTCAGCGACAATATACTATAAGCGATGCAGCTACCGTTGCATAACTTTCTTTTGCTAAGAACTACCTACATATCTTTCCGAGTGGAATTCTGAGGTATTTGTCTTTCGACTTGTTTTTTCGGTAAGGGGGAAGGGTATGTTCTGGCTTACGGCTGCTTCACACATTTGCGCTTGAGTCTGAGCGGGTGCTTTGTGACGACTTGTGACCGCTTACGACGACAGAACACACTGGCGCCGTCTATCGGATAGCGTGTGTGTACTTTTTCTATCTACGTGTATACTTGATAATTTTATTTACGCATAATTTTTTTTTTTCGCAATGGATTTGAAATACTTTTGAAACGTGTATTTCGGGTCTTTTTTTTTTCGAAGGGGGGGGGGGGGGGGGTTATATTTTCCCAAAACTCCGGTATTTTCGGGGTTCATTTTTGGTGTCGGACAGAAAAAAAAAAAAAAGAAATCGACGCCTATTGGAGTTTATGTTGATGGGAACAGAGCAAGGAAATGGTGAAGCCCTGAGCCCCAAATACTTAAAAGGCGTCCCTGCGCAAAAAAAGAAAAAGAAAAAGAAAAAATTGAAATACTTCTGGAAAAAAAGAAAAGGAGAAGCGCCGTGGACAGTTTAGGCTTCAGGGAAAACGGAGGGGATGGCTCGGAGCATTTTCTGTTTTCTGCGATTTTGATAAAATCTCTTTCGGAGGTTAACTTTAAAAATTAATCAGTATTTACAAAAGAAAAAAAAAAACTCGGGGCTCAAGTTATACGTAAGTGACCGTTGTACACACGAGCACATCGAAAGGGGTTCGGGGGTCACTTGGCAGACGGAGCCAGTGTGCCACAATTGCCTCGAATGTAAATCTGTGAACCAGCCTTTCTAACACCACGTCTGTTTCGGAATGCATCGCACGCGTGCGTGATGCCGCTCCATCGCACTCATCGCATACACCGTACAAACGTCACGGGGCTTCGCTATGGACGTGACGAGAGAAGTGTCTGCGGGAACATGCCTCGAGCATCTCCGGAGCGCATGTTTTCTCCGTACATGCGCGTGCTTCGAACAAGCTTTTTTTATAATTAATGTGACGAGAGGAAGATACATACATCGGCCAGTGTCTTCAGCCTGTCTTTTGTATCATGCATTAGCGGCTCAAAGGTACACAACAGTCTTTGTTCACTTTCCCGCGGATCAAGGAAAACAACCGATGGCGGCGAACATACTAGAAGGATCACCGCGAGTGACTGAGCTCAAAATAAAATAAAATATAAAATTCCGAGGACACTTAAGCACTTGTTATAAGTTGTGAATGCGAAAGCATGAATGTCGTTCTTCCGCTCCCTTAGTTCGTCTGCGGCGTAGTGGCGTGGGCGGCCATGTTTCAGTACTGCCGAGGTAGCGGCCGATGGCCGAGCGCGCGCTCTCGTGAAGTGGCCGCGCCGCGCTGAGCTCGGCCGTGCTGCCACTCCGGAGTCTGCCCCCGCACCTCTACCAGCGGCCGGGCCGCTGCGTGCGCTGTGCCGACATGGAGAGGGCTTCTCTGGTTGCGTTCTTTGGAACTACGCCGCGCGAGAGCCAATGGGAGCCTCGTTCCTTGAAACTATGACGCGCGCCAGCCAATGGCAGCATATCTATCAGATTTCTGCTACAGACGACAGGCTTCGCTCCATTGGGATAGGGGAAGCTGCCGTTTGGCGCGGCTTCAAAAGCTGATGACGTCGGTTCGCTCTTTAAAACAATTAATGCTTTCGCATTAAAAAGAAACGCGATTTGTGCAGGAACAACGAACGAGCGGCCTTCGCCTCGTTCGACGGGAACATTCTATCGATGCCCTGACTGGCCCGCACCACCGCTTTGATTATGCTAGGTGGTGTTGGACTGGCCGTCTTTGTGTTTTGCAGAAAAGTTAAATCTCATAAGAGTGTACGACGTTTTTCTTTTTTTTTATCATTTTCAGCGAGAGGGATACTCCGCTCACCTGATGGTCCCTGGTGGATATGAGCAAGAGGATGTCGTCGTCGCAGTGCCCCAGCCCCCACTGTTTGCGCAGTGTCTCGGCGAACAACCGCACGGTCTCGGACATGGGCATGCTGTAAAAGACAGGACGACACGAACTGTAGCTATATCTCTTTACCACATCAAGAAGAAAAAGAAAAAAAAAAGGGGTTGGGTGGGAGAGTTTTGCGCAATAATCATACGCTGCGCGAGTAGTTCTTACATAATTTGGTTGTCGCTGGAAGAAACGAAGATTTCGCCGCTTGAAACGTGTACATTTCGATAATGCGACATAAAGCTGACCTTTGCATGCACATAGATGCACCTAATGCATTTACCTGCATTCAAAGCACGAAAATGGTAATTAGTAGCGTGCCGCAAAAGACCGGACTTAGTTACAGCGGAGCTGTTGAGGGCTAGTTTACACAGGATCGCGTCCGTCAGCAAACAAATGATGACACTAAACTTTGAACAGCTATCGCCATGTTGAGTGGTGGTGGCAACCTCTGAAGTCTCTCCACTATGGCTTGCCGACTTGCGGCCTGTCATTACTTCGTTTCCACCATAGAACAGCTTCGCTGGTCTTCCTTCTTCACCAAAGTGAAAGGCTGAAAGTTTTTTTCTTTTTCGGCGGTTCTTGAGGTGAATAGGAGTATAGGAAAGGCAGTATAGTGATAGTTACAAAAAGACAAAGAGGAAGAAAATTGGGTGGGGGGGGGGGGGGGGAGCGGGAATGATACTTTTTGTTTTTTAGCCTAGGTGGTGCAAGCTACCGCCCGTTATGAGGAGTACACCCGTTAATATCCATCTATCCGGAAACAGAGGAGACCACCGCATGAGCTTTGCTCCGGTTCACTTTGCGATGGAGCGCAGGGGGCGCTACTAATCGTCGAAGTCAATCCAACTCTGTGCGAGTGTCACGTCAACCTTCGGAAGGTGTACGCAGCGAAAAGCGGGGTGCACGTAGTCACGTGGTACGTTCACGGCACCGGATTGGTTGGGATTATTCGTAGCGCGTCCGCTGCGTTGCGTCGTAAGGTGAACCGACGCCCGGATCTGACGTGAGGACGCTGCGGTGGCGCTGTTGTCGGCAGGGTGCGCGCGCAGACGCTCCACTGCTCGTCAGTTTCAACGACCGCTCACCCCACGGCTCTGCATGTCCGTTAGCGCGCCGTTAGCACGGAGCGTCCAAGTTCAGCGCGTCTAGGTCAGCGCGCGCGTTGACCGGCGACGAAAACTACGCAGTAAGCGGACGAGCGGCTTGCATGATTTCGCATTCACAACTCATAAGAAGTGCTTAGATGTACCTCGATCCTTTTTTTAGAGCAAAGCTCTTTTTTCTTACTAACGACTTAATTCAAAACCTTGACTACGGTTTTCCTACTGATGGTGTTTTCCTAGATTTCGCCGAAGCTTTTGACAATTAGGTCCCTCATAATCGTCTTCTTTTTAAACTTTCTTCCCTGAAACTACCCCCATGTCCTAAAATGAATTGAATCTTTCCTAAGTTATCGCTCTCAATTTGTTTTTGCTGACAACGTAGCCTCCTCTTCTGCTCCTGTCTCTTCTGGTTTCCCACAGGGAACGATACTTGACCCTTTACTTTTCTTAATCTATATTAATGGCCTCCCTCTCCAAGTTTCATCCTCAAATCGTCTTTTTGAGGACGACTGTGGTGTTTTACCGATTAATAAAAACTCCTAACGACAACTCTCTACTTGAGAGTGATAATAACAAAATTGCCGACTGCTGTCGTACCTGTAAAATGTCTCTAAATATTATTAAGAGCATGCATGTGCGTTTCACGCGCTCTTCCTTCCACCCCGTAACAGCGCTAACGCTCGACGGCGTCGCTCTTCAGACTGCCACGGAGTACAAATATCTCGGTGTTCATTTAACCAATAATCCATCCTGGATCGTTCATGTTGCTGAAATAGTATCCTCTGCTAACCGATCGCTTAGTTACATTCCTCGTAATTTCAAATCTAGCCCTTCTAACCCAAAGAAACTTTTTACGTCACTCTCGTTTGTCCTAAGCTAGACTACGCTTCATCTATATGGCATCCCCACCAATGCATCCTACCTAATCAAATTGAAGCCATGCAAAAACCGTACTGCTCGCTTCATCCTTTCTGATTATTCCAGTTTTTCAAGTGTCACTGCATTGAAATCTCAAATAGACCTTCCTGGCCTTTCTCTTCGTCGTAAAATCTATCGTCTTTGCCTCCTTCACTAAATATATTACTCTCTGTCTTTAAGGCCACCTGTCCTCAGACCACCCACCTAAGTATCCCCACGATTAAACCACACATGCAAGATTGCCCTGCCTAAAGCGAAATCCACAGCCCACCAGCATTCGCTTCTACACAGAACCATTAGGGACTGGAATGGCCTCTCCATAGACATCGTCACCATCACCAACAACACCTTGTTTTGCAGCGCACTAACAAACCACTCCCTTTCGTAATGCCCTTCGGGGTCCTAAGGGTATTTGTAAATAAATAAATAAATAAATAAATAAAAACGGCAGAAAAGAAACACTAAAAATGGGTGTTAGGGTTCTTAACAAGGAATTGCGGGACGCGTTTTCTTTTTTTGTTTTCTTTTTATAACTTGCAACTGGAAGGCAGCGGAGCTTTTCGCTCTGCTTCGCTGCTTAAAACTAGGGGCACATTTTTCGGATTTTTAATCATAAATTTAAAATACATTTAAAAGTTTCTTTTCCCTTGTCTCTCACTTGGGCTGGGGTTGCATGTTCTCCATGAGCGCCACTCCGAGCGTGATGCCCCTGTTCTCGGATCCACGGCCCCCGCACGAGGGACATATGCACAGGGTCTCGTTGCGGATGCGCTCGATGAGCCGGTCCAGGGAGTCCGCTAAACAACAAGACGCACACACCAAACATTATTGCCAAATTGTCTACGAAGATTGTCGTTTAAACGCGACAAGCATTTCAACAGTCCCTTTTCAAAGGTTCATCAAGCAACATGGCATGGTCGACATTTTCTTGGACGCGAAGCGCGTGATTGGACCCGAGTCATCGCCGAACGTTGGCTTGGCACTCGTACCTCGCTACGAGCTCAGCCGAGTTCACACTCAACGCTGACGCAGCCCTTGTGTCCAATGAGGACTCGGATAGTTGACGCAGTAGCTACTAGAGGGCGCACACTTTTGTAAAGGGTGTCACAGGATCATCATCATCATCGGTTAGTGTGCCTACATTTCTGTCTGTCTCAGGGTGAAGATGTCTCACCCCGTCAACCGCACCGCATTCCGAAGCGTTGCCTTCACGTGCCCTGGCGGCGAGAGCAGGGGGTGGGGGTGAGGGCGTCGCCAAATAAACCACTCCACCAGGGGCGGTTTATGGCGCGGCAGTCGTTCTGTCTCACGCAAATGAGTGTGCTGTATCCACCCAGTAAAGTATAGGGTGTTTGAAATAACCAGGCTCAATCTAAAATAGGCCGTAAATATCGGCGCCGGCACGTAGCAATCTAATATTTTCGTGAAAGGTGTACTTCACGGGTCGCTTTTTTCTTGTAAAATTACAAAGCATAGCTCCCTTCTTGTAAAAAAAAAAAAAAAAAATAGAGCCAAAAATTTTGTTAGGGTCAACGGCGGACGGCGGTGCAGACGACCTACTCGAGTGGCGGGGCCCGTTTGGCGCACGTATTGACAGATGGCGCTACCTCCTTACCAAGACTGCTCGCGACAACCGTGATCTACTAAAATGTACATAATCTTTCTGTAATGTACCTTTGCTTTAAATATAAATGCGAACAATAAAAACAAAACTTGAAGTAAAAACAAACACGGTTGCATAACGACGGCACTCTTGCTGCAGACGGATTTCGTCTACGTGTCGCTTGCTTTCTCTCGCTGGCCGGTTAAGCCATCGGACGCTTCTCCCGACGCCACCTATCAATACGTGCGCCAAACGTGCGCCCGCCACTTGACTCTGTCGTCTGCGTCGCCGTCCGCCATTGTCCCTGGCAAATCTTTTTGGTCCCATTTTTTTTACGTAAATGGAGCTATGCTCTGAAATTTTACAGGATAAAACCGACTTGTGAAGCACACCTTTCACGAAAAGTTTCGATTTCTACGCGCAGGCGCCGATATTTACGGCCGATATTAAATCAAGCCTGGTTATTTCAAACACCCTATACTTGACACATATTCTTTGTTGCACTGAGTGAGCCAGAGCGTGACGCGCTGGCGCACTCAGTGCGTCACTTGTGCGGTAAAATGCCGTCTAATTATGAGCCTAGGCTACGCGCTCGAGCTAAATCACAGCGGATTGCGCGCACTTTAAAAGACGCAAAAAGAAAGACTGGTGGGAAAATGGTTGAGATCTCACCACTGAAGTGTCTGTGTATGACGATCGACACTCTATAAAAAGTCTATATTGCACCGTGTTGTGTAGACGTTTCTTTATAAACGGATTAGGAACTTCCGTGTAAATTCTAGGAATATATTTCGTCGATGTTCATAAAGTCTGTTATCACATTTCTAACCAATTCACAAAATATTTCTGGTTTGACTATCTATTTCCTGCGGAGAGTCCTCCCGCGCCCGGCCAAAGACTTTTGTTGGAGTATTACTGAAATTTAAATGTTTCTATCTTCCTTTTTGCATATAAACATAACGTGTTCACAAACATTGTAAGACCTTTGGTGACTGTATTTGTCGTTCGGAAAAATGTATATAATTTAATTTAATTTCATTTAATTTATTTACTCTCAGTGCCCGAAGGCATTACAAAGAGGAGTAGGTTAGTTATTCCAAAATACGAAAAATACAACGCTAAAAAAGGCAAGAATACATTAAAATCAATGAGCAAGGCAAGAAATGCATGAATACAAGAATGAACAAAAAAAACAACATAATAATAAAAATAAACAAAGCGCAAAAAAAAAAAACCTGAACAAAAAAAAAAGTACGACATGGCTAAGGAATATTATTTAAATATATAGCAGATTTAAAATCAACGACATCATTTATTGAGACTATTGGTGTGGGAAGGCGATTCCAATCAATGGATGTCTGGAGAAAAAAAAAAGAAGCATTGAAAATAGAGGTGCTATAATGGGGGATGCCTACTTTAAGTTGGGTGATCTATGCGTGATGATACGTAAGATGGTTCTAAAAATAACGTTCCACGAAGTGCAGGGTTATTGTGATAAATCTTGTAGAATAAATAAAACGATATATTTTTTGTCTCCGAGAAGAGAGACTAGGCAATGATAGAGATGATGCAAATAGGTGACACTGGCTGTACAGTAATAGTTTAAACAAATAAAACGAGTAGAACAATTTTGTACTGACTACAAGCACACGCAAGGGTGACTCCCAGCCTCCAGGTTCCAGATATCAGGCTGCACATTCAAGTTCAGTACAAATTAGAGTTCTATCCAAAAAATGAACCTAAAAAAAAAGCTTAGCCTTTTCACTTTGGTGAAGAAGAAAGTCCAGCGAAGCTGTACTATGGTTGGAATGAAGCAATGGCCGGACGCAAGTTGGCAAGCCAGAGTGGAAAGGCCGAAAGGTTGCCGCCATCTATGAGCGACGACGGCAACCAGACAACCTGCAAGCCGGTTGTCTGGTTGCTACCGTTGGTCATGGATGGCTGTAGCTGTCCAGAGTTTAGTGTCATCATTTGTTTGCTGACGGACACGACCCTGGGGAAACTAGCCTTAACAGCTCCGCTGTAAAAACAGAAGTGAGCGAAAATTTCTCTTGAGATAACCTAGTAAACGATTAGCGTTGTTAGTGACCTATTCAGCATGGACATTCCAGCAAAGGTCATTGACGATATAAACAAAGAGGTATTTATAGGGGGAAACAAAATGGAGGGTGAAATGGTTAATGTAGCAAGGAAGACAAGCGTTATTTTGACGGGACCCGTTCATATAGACCAACATTTAGAGGTGTTAAGCTCCATAATCCATTTTGTGCACCAGTGGATCACGTTATTAATATCAATTTGAATGGCAGAGGTGTAGTAAACGTTATGATTTTGTTTTTATAAATAACAAGCTAATAGAGAAAGAGATACGCATAGGTAAGCCGTTACTTTGGTATTTATAAAAACAAAAAAAATGATAACGATTATATATATAAGAAATTATAGTGGACCGAGTACAGCACCTCGTGGGACACCGGAGTTAGCATGAGAGGATAAAGAGCTGGTTCCGTTGACATGAACAAATCGACAGCGGTTTGTTAAAAACGATTATATCCAAGCGAGTACATTAATGTCTTTGCTTGGGTTCTGAAGTATATTCCATTCGTTAGGCGCATTACACTCCTATATGCATAATTAAAGTAGGAATATGACAAATGCTTGCCGCCTTTTCTTAAACATAAATTGAGCAACGGACACGAAATTGCGTATATGGTTGGCTTTGAAGCTTTCTTGCATTCAAAAGGATGCAAACATGTACGGTAATGATCCCGAAAAATCGCCCAGTATCCGAAAGATGGCCCAACTTCAAAATAGGGAAGATAAGAAAGAAAAAAAAACGCTCCTGGTGATTACGTCAAAGCGTACCAAATGCGTATCATGCCAAATGCAGACGCAGCATTCATATTCAATACATGATCCGAATACACGCTCAGACCTACTAGATCGTGCTCATTCTTCTAAAGGGATCAATGCCAAATCGTGTGCGATGTCGTACCCGTCACGCCAAAAGTCGCGAAGCGTCTTTTTTTTTTACATTAACATTTAATGTGCTTGCAGTTGTGTATAGTGAGGGTTTATATACAAGGACACGGAAATGTCAACGTAAAGCTGTGAAAAAGGTTGATAACGTCTGGAGGATTGGGGAGGCGGGGGGATTGGGGGGGGGGGGGGGGGGGGCAACCTTGGGTAATATCTTTCAATGCAAAAGGCACAGCGATTTGTTTAATCGCTACCTAAAAAGATTTGGTAGTATTTAGGATGACTTCACACGAAGCAATATTTGCTGGCATCTAAGGTCGCCGACAGCTTAAAAGGAACGCGAGGCACAGCCTATACAGAGCGCAAGTTCGTCTGCTTCGTTTGCAGGGGTTGTGGTGACGTCAGAATGCAAAGCTCCGATTGGCTCTGACAGAAGGATAGTGGGTAGACCTCAAGGCAGCTCGCGTTGAGGTCTACCCACTATCCTTCCAATCGGAGCCAATCGGAGCTCGGCGTTCTGACGTCACCACAACCGCTGCAAAGGAAGCAGACGAACTTGCGTTCCGCGTTATGATGGACGTTTTGCGTCGTGATTTATATTTCGGCGTTTTTATCCGCTGATGTCGCCCTGCCATTGACCTCGCAGCAAAAAGAAAACGCTTGTCCTGCTCTTTCTTTAACTGTCGGTGGCGGTACAGCTGTCACAACAGTTATAATTCAGTTCTTTCGCGTTCATATATTGCAGAAACCGCCGAAAGAAATCGAATGTGCTACATTTAGTCGTCATTAGTTGTCGCATTATTCCATTTGTTGCTCATGATCCATTCTATTTTTCTGTATTATTCAGGCGGTGGTAACGTGTTTTATATTTTCTACTTGCATTGTGAATAACGACTCACAGGTGCGTCAGCTACCATAGCCCGCGTAAAAATATTTCAAGAGCACACCAGAACGAGGTCAAACACCGTCCTCAACAATCACCATCGCAACCCCAAAGGCCTGTCACCGGGAACACGGCTCGCGAGGGCCTTTTCCGTGTCAGGGGAAAGCATGCACTTACTTTTGCGTTTTTTTTTGTTTGTTTTTTTTGGTGGGGGGGGGGGGGGGGGTATTTGTTGGCATCCTACTATTCCTCAATCCTGGGAAAAGTGGCGCCATTCCTTGTTGTGGAAACGTTGAGACACGTGCCGCGCGCTACTTCTGGGAAAAACATGGCGTCTGAGATTTCGCTCAGTGCTGCGCTGTGCCGCCATGATCTTCCCAAGCGCTGCACGTTGCACGTGCCTCGTGCATCGAAGCGCCTTGCGCTACTTTTAAAATAAAGGGGCTTTAACTACTCCCGTTGTTCCTTCCGGCTTTCCCTGTTGCTCAAAGGGTTCTGTTTATCGTGGCCCAACGGTGTACGTTTGTGTCTTAAATTGCACGTCAACATCCGGGAAGACCTCTGGCACGTCTTTTCACCAGCTCCCGAGCGATTATTCTCTAAGCATATCGTGAAAAAATAAGATACCAATCAAGAACCTTGTAACGGCAAGTGCCTATCTACGGTTGCGTGCAACAGACACTTTAAAGTGGAAGATTATATTCTAAGTTATCGCATAAATAAAAGCTGGTCCCTGGAGCCGTGCTCGCGGTGTTCGATGAGTCTTCGGAGGGCCCAGTGCCTGAAGCCAAGAAAGCCCGAGGATAATTTGTTTTAAAGCAGTCGGATCTGCGCCGAAAAGTAGACCGCGAAAGGCAGATGTGTTGGTTACTAAAGTTGATTATGAACAGGCCGATCAAGATTAACCAAATGGTTCGTGAACGAAAGCCGGCATTTCCACTCCGGCACCAGGGACAGATTTCCGGTAGTCAAGTCAACACCTTCTGAACATCGCTAGGCTCAGCTTCAAGGTGATCTACTGCAAAAATGAGTATTTGAAGCCGCAGTACCAACTAAGCCAGCAAGCTAAATTACGCGCTTATTTCCAGAGTGGTGTAAACGTAACGCTGCGATAAAAAATATTCTAAATAATTCTGACAGGGTGAAATGGAAGCCGTGTTTCTTCTGAACCAGCTGAAGAACTACGAGAAAGTATTTACCTGGACGAAATTCTTGGGGAATATGTAATATGGATATTTCTATGACTAAAAGTCTACGCTCACGCGAGGTCATATAATCTAGTCACGTTTCCCGCGTAACGTCCTCTAATCCCTTAGTGAAGCATTCAGCACATGATTGCTTTAATGGTAACGAAAAAGCACAGAAGAAAGTGTTCACGCTCTGCAATTTTCATGCCGTGGCATTACTATATTGGGCTGGCAGCTTATTTTTCAGTGACTGCCTGCAAACACTTGAATCGCAGGAAACGAAGAGGCTGATGCCCTAGCTGCCGAGGCCCATCAGCTTGATACGCCCAGTATCTCTCTTCGCCGACGCAACGAGGCAAGGCGGCCCATACGTGACTTCTACCCCTAAGAGCCACCCGCACCAGACGATAGCTGACGAACAACCTCCTCCTGCGATTCCCTGCAAGCTTCCAAGAGAAGAAGCGTCAGCGTTTCATCGCCTTAAAGCAAACTGCGCTAGCACAAGATTGACCTTGCCGAAGCTTCAACGGGACAGGGATCACCTGCGAACACTGCGAAGCACGGGAGGACATGACATCAAATTTTTTGGACTGCGAAAAGTATGAGGAAGAGCGCAAGGTTTTCGTAAAGTGCTACGCCTCAAGTGGTCTCCCCTGCTCTACGACTCAAACATTACCAATTCCAGATGCAACAAGGCGACTCGTCCACAAAGCCTACAAACAGCTTTTGGACTATTCACGAGAGACGGGTGTAGCTGATCATCTCTAAACCTTTCGTCCCAAAACTCGAGTGCTCCCTGGATACTGTCAAACCTGCGAAAGTCCGCGGACCTTTATTTAGGTTTTAAATAAATTTCCACGATATCTCTATTGGCCACCTTTCGGCATTTCCCTATTCCCTAGCCCAAAAGGGACTCGCCCGGTAGGGAAGGCCAACATCTTTCCCGGCTGTCCCCCTTTTACTCTGTATACCTCAAAACAAAACACCATTCTTATAGCATTACCGCGTTGGTATTCAGCATTCGAGTCTTTGGCGAGCGCTGCAATTACGCTTCTTCTAGTGACTCTAAAAATTCATGGTCAGAATTAACGTTCACCGCCAGTAGCCGAGAATCTAGCAGCACGTTAGGCGAATGTCGCAATTCCAGCACAGCGCGAAGGATAGGGCATAGCGAGCTCCGCGATAGTTTCCAAACGAGTTGCGCGTTCGGTTCTTCTTTGACGGCTTCACCAGTGGGTTTTGACGAGATTTCACACTCATGGACAACTTTTGGTGGCATTTCCGAGGAGAGAAAGGGAACACACGTGTACAGCCTTGATCAGCACTGAAGCTCGCGTTCTCGTTCCTTTGACTGCATGCGTAGACGCAGAAAGTTCTTCCCGAGTATTGCAGTGACACCACCCCGACCGCCCAGTGGTGCTTCAATACTCTATTTCACCTTCTGATGTACCGCAGGTGCTAGCACCTTGCTCTAGGGCACGTCTCGGCGGCATAAGCTCTCGTGCACTTAGGGCTGCTGCCAACGCTATGAGCTCGCGCTTCTATCCTTCGCTGCGGTACAACATAAGGTGAAACGGAGTATAGCGTACCACTGGACAGGCCGTAAGACAACTGGCGCTTAACACGTGTGCGTAACGCGTTACTAGTAACGAGTTACTTCTACCTAATCACTTTGTTCGTTATCCAGTCTGGCCCTGTCTGGAAAAATAGTTCTTCCTTTTTGTTTTCATTGCTTTACCCTTGAACGTTCTTTAGTTGCAGCAACCAAGTTGTTGCTTTGAATCTGGCCCGATTCAGCAGTGGGCAATTTACAAAATATACCGAAAAGCCACCCGGGATTCGCTCAAAGAATTCTTGAATATCCTCCATATTATACAGCCGTTCATCAGATTACCTTTCGGCTCCGGTGGAGGGCGCTGCATGTTAAGAAAACACACACACACGCACGCACACACACACACACACACACACATGCACGCGCGCGCGCACGCACGCACGCACGTACACACACAGACACGCAAAAGGAAAGCGTTTGCAATGAATCAAGTGTACAGGTTTGGACACGACAAATACGTGACTACCCAATTCAAAGGAAATAGTCATAAACATAACCAGCACCATTATCATTGTCAAGGCCTGCTCGTGTGCCACAGTTGACGCAGCAACCGGGGACTCGTCGCTGACCCGGTATAGACCCTTAAAATGTAGAGCCGTCTGTTGACAGTCTCAGAGCTCCAATATTTCCTCACGAATGGCGGTAATCGCTTAACTTCAAGCACCCTCGACTTCGCGAAGAAGGCGACGTGCAAGGACCTACTTGTCAGATTCAGTTCAACACTTTCTGCTCTTTGTTTTCGAGGATGTTCGCGTGTCGAGAAGCTTTGTCGCCAATTAGGCTGAGTTTTGAAAAGCTAGGGTTAATTGACAGGTTGCCCCGTCTGATGTGGGCCATACAAACACGTACTCACGGAATGACTCCATCTTACCTTGTTTCTTGCCGATGACCCTGTCCGGATCGCAAACGAACGACGCAGAGTACCTGTTGCAGTAGCGGGGATGCCTGATGGGGTGAGGGTAATCCTCCACGCGCCACAACCACCGCGCCGTCGGGTCGGACGGGTCATCATCCGGAGAACAGTTCTCCCAAGCGGCCAGGGGCACCGGCGCGCACAACACAGTAACCACCAAAATGGCCGCCAAGGGGGCGCTGCAGGCGCCGCCGCGCTCATCCAACATGGCGGCCGCCATCTGAGCTTATCCGTCGCCCGGTGTGGCTATGTTGGTGACTTCATGGTAAACACGTCGATGGTTGAAGCGTGACGTCTGGTGATCCCAAGTTGTCTGCCCATTATGGCTGCGGATGATTCCTGTACAGGGCAGTGCGGAGAATGTCAGGGTGTCTGCCCGACGATTTGTTGACGGTCTGTCAACGTGCAATTTATGGATGTGCGAAGCTGCTAGAACGGTAGCCTTGTTGCCCATGATTCGTTATGAAAAGTGCACAAAGAATTAGTTTCTGATGTTGTCCCGAGTCAGCACTCGTGCTTAGCAGCATTCGCTGTGGACATCGAACGATACGTTCGGTAGCAGGTAATGCGTCTCCTGTATAGCTCAAGAGTTTTTGCCGGTAGATTGCCGTGCTTAAAACGCGTAGCCTTTTAAAATGGCATTTTGGGTTACTGGCAACGCCGTTGGTTTACACCGCCAAATGCGCTTATCCACCTTTGAGTCTTCCGCGTAGAAGACCTGATGCAAACCGATGTTTTCTTTTTGTCTCTTCCATCTCAGACGCCACGCGGTGCTATAATACCGGAAGTGCTGATCCAACGTGGAGATACGATTACTCGTAGCTAGCATTGTACTTGGGCAAAGTTTGTTGCCTCTTGAACGCGTCTTTCCAGTGACGTCAACGCGAACATAAAAAAAACGGGACGTTAGGATAACGTCAAACTCCGGCGGCGCCATCCTGTCGCCCCGATGACCGCGAATCACGAGACATCAGCATTCAGAATTTCTGCATATCCACACATATATACAAGCCTCTTATCACAGCGGGAGAGTTTCGCTACGGCCCGTGCGAGTAATCAAAACGATCTGTTAGTTACCTGCGCTCCAGCCACGATCGTCCGCCACTCTGTTGTGCAGCAGACTCTCCGCGATCGTCTCTTGCAGGTACACAGCATTACGCGCGCGCTCTCATAGAGCACAAAAGCGCGCGGCTATCGGAGGTCGATAAGCGACTGGAGTTTGGCTGAGGGTTGACCAGATAGCCAGTTGACGTACTCGTGTCTTTTTCCCCTCCCTCCCCGCGAGGCTGTACTTATCTATGAACAGTTTCACCTTATGATTGTTCGCAGAGGACGCTTTGACCGACCGAAGCCAACTCGATGACGTGTGAGTGCCACGTGACCCGCGGGACGGTTGCAGCGATTCGCGGGCCGCATGCTCACGTGACGCGTACGAAGCGCTTGATTGGCTGAGGCGATTCGTATAGCACCCGCAGCGGTCCATCGTGGCGTTGAGCGGAGCGTAGAATTCACGTGGTGGGAGACGGAACAGATTTCGCGACGGGCCGCGGATAGTTTCCGCGCCGGTCAACAGCACGGACAATGTGCGCGGGTCGTTGGCATTGGCGGCCGGCGTATTATCACGCGGGGGCCACTCGATTGTTTGTTTGCTGGATCGGTAGGGAAAGGCGTGTTTTCAAAAGGAGAAAATGAAAGGCCTTCTTCCTTTTATGAAAAGCGCCTGTGGTGGAACACTTATCGTATTATCCAGGAAGATAACTAACACCCCACCCCTCCCCCGAAGCCCTAACTTCCCGAAAGGTAGCCTACCCCAAAATATAGTCTACTTCAGTCCTTCTAGTTATCGCGTCTTGTTGAAAAAAACACCCTACATTAAAAAAAAAAAAAGTTTACTTTTAGATTATTATAATAACCACCCTCTGCGTGATGATGTTTTGTGTTTTGGGCATACGCAGTCGCTTTTTTTTTCAGCATACGAGACACCCTGCGTGCGTCCACAACCCAGTGACTAGGCATTTTTTTCGGCTGAGTGATCAGGCCCGGTCAAGGTATATCCAAATCGAAATATAATTTGTCTTTTTGAACGACGTCAAATACAACGAAGCATAAAAGAATGCAACTTGGCAACGCATCTTCTCACGACGGCGGGAAGGCACAGAGGTTCTGACCCGTCCAGTCTTGGCTGAGGGTGTCCACTGCTGGCCGCCAGAGGGTCCGCGGCTCCCAGCTGTAGTAGTGAGTTGGACCACTCAAGCGGCGTCAAAAGCGCGAGCCACTGGGCCTTTTTATGTTTATGGTTGCTTCAGCGACGATAGAACACGTGCAGAAACACGAATAACACAATGATGGTGTGATTTTCATGCTGTCTGATTGGGTCCCATCAGCTCCTAGCGTCTCCGCCCAGATGTAGCGCTAGCGATTGGGACCAACTGCCAACATGTGAGAACTTGCCTTCATCTGGTTCAAACGTTATGAACGATTTAAGGAAATTTTCACTAAGAACATGGAGCACATTGTCGATAGCAGACGCCCGTTGGCCGCCATTTTCTAACTAAAGCTTTTTTTAAAAATCACACTTGAATCAGACAATGGCAAGTGGGAAGCTTTGGCGTTTGGTCAGTATACCGCTAGCCCGATACAGATGGCGAAGACTGTGCGTGCGGTGGTGCGTATAGACCAGCTCAAATCCTTGACGTCACGCCACTGTGGCGGCGCTGCTATCGTCACTGCGCATGCGCAGATGTATCGCTTAAGACAAATCTGGTTTCTGCCCACGCGCAACGCCCACACACGGTGTGGTCAAACGCGGGCTTGTTAGTAAACAGTGTGTTGGTCGATAGTTTTATTTTTGGGGTGAAAAAGAAGATGGTTCTCCTTTTTGCCGAACACCCGGTGTATACGAACGAGCACACGCCGTAGTAAAACCACGAATCAAGAAGCTTCCTTTCACGCGCTACGCCGATTTTTTTTTTTATTCGTGCCATTTTTATTGGGAGAGCGACGTGATTGTTGTTGTTGCCGACACAGAGGTCCGTGTGGAAGAGTTTAAGCCGTTGTTTGCGAACGTGGACAAGTCTCAAGAGAATCCTCAGGCGTGGGAACATTCGTGGTGGTTCACGGAAAGGTGGTCGCCCTTTCTGCACACCGGGAAGTTCTTGCCCATCAGTTCCAAGGTAGAGCAATGGCCACGAAGTCTCTCCGTCTGCAATCATAATTACAAATGGAGGGAGAGAGAGAGAGAGAGAGAGAAAGAGGTAAACACCAATCCAATACTTATAAATCCAGCTCTTATGCACTTTTCCAGCGGTTATCACTTGGGCAAAAAATGCTGAGTCACTAAGGTGGACGGACGCACGGCGCCTGTTATTTGCAGAGGAAAGCTGCTTCGTGTGCACATGATGTGTTTCACAGCCTAGTAGACAAAGAAGGCATTTGACGCGCGCTATCCACATGATAGCGACAAATACCGAACTGTAGAAAATACATGGGTTATCATTTCGTCCACGTTGCAACGAGAGATGCTGTTAGTTTTTTCGGCGTAAATCTGCACTGTACTGATCACTTCTGTTCATGTGGTACGACCACTATTGCCGATGATCTCTCGTACCTGAGAGGGCGTAGGGCGCGCTGAAAGCTCAATACTTTTCCTAGATATAAAACTTGCCCGACGAGACTTGATCCGTATGAAGCCAAGTGGTATGCCACGATTGCCGGCGATCTCGTTTTTAAAAGGTCGTACTTATACTCCGTTTCACCCTACGTTCGGCCGCAGTGAACGGTACGGGCCATAGGACAGCTAATCCAGCTCTGTGAACGCAGCACGTGACAACGTTTTTCGCGCGTCACGGCGCTTCCTCTCGAATGTCACGGGAAACTCATACGACCCTGCATTGGTTTCTATGGCTCGTAGCATATCCGCTCCAGCCGGACGTAAGCTGAAACAGAGCGTGTCTTAAGCGGGCCTTCCGCTGTAAAACGTTCTGGAAAAATCGGCACCCGCACATACAAATCTCAAGCTTTCTCCCAATGTGCACTCAACAGGTCATTTTTACCGAGTGAAAATGCCAGGAATAGCTCACTTCCTGTAAAAAAAAAAAAAAAAAATAGAGCAAGGAACTTGCCAAAGACAAGGTTGCATGGGCACATTTGCAGACGACCCAGTTAGGGACGCTATTTACTTGTGGCGCCATCTCCCGATTAGTGCAGCGAGCAGAAAACTGAGTGCCATGGCGGCTTGCTGCACCTATCGGGAGATGGCGCCACAAGTAAAGAGCGTCGCTAACTCGGTCATCTGCAAACGCTCCTATCCTTGACTTTGGCAAGTATTTATGTTCTTATTTTTTTACAGGAAGACAACTACGCCTTGACATTCCACAGGGTGAAACTGATCTGCTCACTACTAAGTGTATACTTGGTGAACGTGTGAACTTTCTATGCGAAGGCGCCGATATTTCCGGCTCGTTTTACAGCGGAAGGTCCGCTTGGGACAACCCATATATAACAAGGCCATTGGGAATTCTCTACACCACCTACCGGAGTTCAGCGCGGATCACAAATTGTGCACGAGTGCTGCGTCAACGTTTGAGTTGAACTCGTGTCTTTCAATCACGAGGTCGGCTGGAACTCGTGGTTGAGCACGAGTTCCTTCCAAGTTATCTAAAGTTGTATTCATTGAACCCGACTCGCACTCGAGCTTCTGAGCCAGATGTTGAACCGTGACGCAGAACAACCCAGTTTTGCTCTTTTTGGCCGCCAGTGGCGCTAACTGGTGGCCGACCGTGGCGCCCTCTATTCACCGCACCGAGCGTATACACACAGTGTGCGCGTCTTCCGAACATAGAGAAGGAGAGAGAGAGAGAGAAAGACAAAAGAAGCAAGCTTGCCTGATATAATTGCCGAGGGGCTTTGAGATAAATGCTTTCGGAATAAGCGAGGTGGGAGCTTATCTAGCACGCGCTTTTTTCATTGTCCTTCGGGATTTCAGAAGATGGTAAGTGTCATCTACGTCAAACGATCGTATCGGCGTGAAAAGGCAGATAAGGTGAGCGTTCATGGCGGAATGCGCCGGGAACGATCAACTCTGGCGGGGAATGCGCCTTGAGACAACACCGCATAGAGTATAATCCGAAGCACGTGAACAGCTTCCTCTACCTCCACCTAACATTGTCACCAGTGTTTTGTACGGTGATGACGTTACGATCATTGTTTTGCACGTTCCTCCAAAAACGGAAACGAAACCCCGTTCCTTTTCAATATTGGAACGATTTCCCGTTACGAGTTTTAGGGGTTCGGAACGAACGCGTTTCCATTACATTTCCACGACTAGAACGTGTAGTTACGTTAACGTCAAATTGGCGCATTTTAATGAAACATTGTGCCGGATAATCCGTACAAATTAAGCAAGCGAGTGAAAACATCCACATCGATCTATACTTGTCGGTTCGCCTCGATGACGTTTGCTCCAGTTCCTTGTTCTCGACCATCTTTCGGACACTCCCCATTCCTAGCAGTCGGAAGTCAAAATAGTCGACAATAAAAAAGAAAAGTCTAAATGTAAAATTAAAATATATGAAAAAAAAATGCCGTTCCTTTTGTTGTTTCTTCGAAAACGTAGCGAGTTTCTGTTCCAGTTCCACCGCCGTAAGATGGAACGGCGGCGTTACTCCGTTCCTCTTAAAAGGAACGCTCTCCAGGAACATACGTCGTTCCTTGGAACGCCCTTCCGTCGAATGTCCTTCGACGCATCAGAGAGTTTTAGAGAACCGTTTTTGCACATCCGATGCGGTATACGATGGGACCTCCGGTACGCACTGCGCATGCGCTCCCGCAGAAGACTCTCATACGCGGAGTTCGTACCGGAGGGCCCATCGTATACCGTATCGGTTGTCAAAAACGGTTCCCTAAAGCTCTCTATCGGCCGGACACGAGGCCTAGCCAAACGCTGACGCAGAAATCGTCTCCAGTGTGTGTCTGCGCTCGATTTAACTTTGACGACGTCGCAGCGCTGTGTGCAAAGGGCTTTAATTATTCTATAACTCAAAAACCGCAGCAAAAAAAAAAAAAAAAGTCTTCTTCGCGGAACGTTACTAATTTGCCCCTTCATGTGTTGAACTAAGGTATACTATCGATGCCGGCTATAACGAAGTCAACGGGAACCGGAAATCACTTCGCTATATCCGCTATTTCGTTATAACCGACTTCGGTTATAAAGAAGTGCAAAAGGGAATGGGAAATCGCGATCGCTGCGCTGTAGCCGCTATTTCGTTATAACCGACTTCGTTATAACTTATAACCGGTCTTCGTTAGATTAAATGCATGTGCTACCTTATCAAGACGTACATGCTGCGAACGCCACAAGCATCGTTCCTTCCTCCCACAACTAAATCTTGTGAGAACTACACTTCGGGCGGCGCGTGAATAATGCGCACAACTTTATATCTTCTCGATGTGACGAGGATTATAGGTGGTGTTGCTTGAGAGAGCAGTGCCGTATGAAGGGCGATTAATGACTAACGTTCTATAATACCAATACTTGATGTCTGTCTTTTTTCGTTCAATTTGTAGTGCTATGTCGAACAAAGGACGACTGGCAAAAAAGTTTTATACACTCTTAAAAAAGAAGGTAAGCAACAAAATGAAAGGAACGGCGAACTTTTACCATCCCAAAGCGTGAAAGAGGATGGTTTTCTCCTTTTTAAGCAGTCATTACCGCCTAAACACTTAAAAAACAAACAAAAAAAAATCAACAAAAAAACGGAAGTGTTATTTTTTTGGAGGGTGCAAGTCTTGAGAGCCATGGGCTTAAGAAACGCACGTTTTGATTAAAAAACACAGAGCGTGGCAGCATTTTTCGACAAGAACGCCGAAGACCCAATCACGAAGCGAGAAGCATGATCGTGATAAGCAACGCCCTGCACTTCTTAAGCTGTCAGTAATCATAATCACGTCTATCCTTGGTCCCGCCTCAGAATAGAGCCAAAGCAACGAACAGCCAGGTCCAATCACAAGCCGGTTGGACACCCCGTGGTGCGTTGCTTTGATGCGCGTACCGAAGTGGCACACTGAGAGGCAGCCCACGCTACAGGATAATGGGACCAATCAAACGGCGTCAGAATCGCACGTCACTGGGCCTTTTATTGTATAGGATTGGTTCAGCGATGATAGAACGCGTACAGGACATGATGGTCAGCTTTCGACGCTGTCTGATTGATTGGCCCCGTCAGCTCGAAGCGTCGGCTGCGCAAGGACTTCAGGCGAAACAAAGCACAGCAACGTACCACGTGGTTCTTAACTGGGTCGTGATCAGACGTGGCGACCGGTAGTACTGAGCAGATTGCAAAGTTACGCGTAATGCTTAATGCATTTGTTTCAACCAAACATAAGTTTGAGAATGTTTGTGAGCACGTCATTCCATAGGCTAAAAAGTTAGGAAACTTCCTTTGTTCGAGGTAGACTTCTTCATAGAAAAAAGATTTGCAAAGGATTTGTCTAAGGAATGTTCAAATAATCGAAGCCCGCGCAGTAGAATTGTGACGTCGTTACATTGAGAACGAGCGAAGACACAGGTTGGACACGAGTGCTGCGTCGGTGCTCGGCCGGGACTCGGGTCCAATCACCGAGTCGGACGGTACTCGGCACCGGGCTCAGGTCCAACCGCTGAGTTGGCGCCACCCGACTTTTTCTCTCGTGCTCATGGGCGACGTTCACGAAATCAGATAGCCTCTCTGTTAGTTTCCGTTCGCTGAAATGCCGGCGTAAAATGGAAGTTCTTTACGGATGTCATCTCTCGCACAAATCAGGGAAGTGTCAAGAGGAATTTAAAGCGTCGATTCGTGTCGCATTAAACGCATTTGCAGATCTCATGTTTCGAAAGACATCCTTTATTGACGACGGGATGTTTTGGCGGCGCCCTCTCATGGCTCCTACTTCTGACGTGACGACCAAGATTTTTAGTAACGAGCGACAAGCTGGATGGTGCGTAAAAAGCTTGATAGAAACTAGCCCAGTCATCACGTTCCTAAATCAACTCCGTCAAGGTTGAGAGTCTGGCTTTGCTGTTATTTCCGTGGATGAGGGCTGAAACAATCATACTTCAATGTCAAAGTGAGTGTTTGATGACCAATCGCGGAAGGACGATCACAGCGATGCTGGAAGAGCGACACTAGACCTTTCTCAAAAGTCTGCGCCAACGCCTCTCCGCCGTTGCTTGATCACACACTCTGAGTATGCATTGGACACGAGGGCAGAGTCAGCGTTCGGCGAGAACTCGGCTCAGCTCGTATTCAAAACGAGCGTGACGTCAGCGGTTGGCGAGGACTCGGATCGAATCACGCGCTCCGTGTCCAAGCAATGACGACCGCCAATGTTGCTTGATGGGCTTTTGAAAAGGGTATATTGAAGGCCCTTCCTACAGTTCTTAGTCTCCCAGTGACTATATTATATAAGGACGTTTGCAAGTAGGGCCTCTGGACGCCGCCATCTTGCTGTTGGTGTGAGTAGGTCGTGCGATAATCAAGCTTTGCTGAGATTACTGATCTCTGACAATTGCTGGATCGCGCTTCCTCGCACCGAAAATGAGGCCACCGTGGGCCACCTTACGAGATATGCTCTAGCGCTGTCAAGCCTAGACAGTTACCATGGTTACCGTGTGTAGGTCACGTGAAAACAAAGGCAAAGGTCACGTGACCGCCGCCTTGACAACGCTTCGGCGGCACTCGTAAGATGGCCGGCCGGTGGCCTCAATCGCGCAATGGGCTCGAAGCGGGGAAGCGCGATCCAGCAATTGTCATAGAGATCAGTGGCTGAGATGTACCCACGGTTTCCAGACAGGCTCCCAAAACAAAGGGTATTTCATCCACGGTGGCCAGACTAGCTCTCGAAGCGCCCCTGCTTGCAAACGTCCATGCGAAGCGTAAGTTCGTCTGCTTGTTGCACCACGGTTCCGATCATGTCGAAACGCCCTGCCCTGATTGGCTGATCGAAAAAGAAAAGATTGTGAGTAGACCTCAAGGCATCTAGCATTGAGGTATACCCACTGTCCTTTCAATCAGAGCCAATCAGAGCTCAGCGTCGTTCTGACGTCAGCGCAACTCCTGCGCAAGAAGCAGACGACTTGCTCTCCGCATAGACGTCGATGTTAAATAGGCTGTTCTGTTTTTTGTTTTGTTTTTCTTTGAAGACACCAACGACCTAATCAAAGTGAACCACCGAAAAGCGGTTTGTTAGGCGTCTTGCGACGACGTCCACAGTGGACCGGATTCCTCGAGTCTCAAAAGGCCGAGCGTAAGCGAGCTCACCACTTGGACCTCGATGTGGCAGTCCTGAAGCTGGCTTTCGTCCATCAGTGACGGCAGGTCGGCGACGGCTTCGGCCTGGTCCTCGCGAGGAGATTTGAAGAACTCTGGTCTGCCCAAGACTTGGGTGCTGCCGTCTCCTCCGAGCAGCGTCTGCAGTGACTCCGGCACCTGTGCGCGGCGGAATTTGCGGTTTCGAGCAAATCGAAAGTGTGCGTCGTCTGCTACAGCGTCGCCTGCATGAGCTCCTTCTACAATGCTCTCACTTGTAGTTTGCCTTTGTTTATTTCGAGCTCGCCCAAGTACCTAAGACGTTTTTGGTCAAAAGGTAAACTCCTTGCGCGGATGAAAATTTTAAATAAAATTTATCGGCTGGCATTTTCGTGGCGGTGTGCTTCTCAAGCAGAGACCTTGTTTAAAAGAATGCTGACACCGACTTCACAACGCACAAAATAGCACACACAGAAAACGCAACATACACCCCGCTCTGAACCAACTCGCCCAGTCTGCTGTTTTGACAAGAATGCCGATAATTAGGGCAAACATTAATCGACACTTTAAGGTCATAGTTACGAGAAACATTGAATTTTGTTTACCAGCAGAACCATTTAGTTAAGATCAAATACGTCGTGCAGAGGCTCAGTCTGCGACATTGTCTCTTCCACCAACTTGGCCAATGAAATATGACTGGTAATCTGGGGCTATTTAGTGCTCTAAGCTGTTGGCCATTCAATCTATCTTACACAGCACTGTTTTGCTCACAAGCATATTCTTTTTGTGGCTAACTGAGTGTCGGTGATCGGTCTACTAGAACAAAGCCTTTTTTTTTCTTCCTTTTTAACTTCGGTCATCAATAGATAAGTTTTTGGAGGGATCATGGAAGAGGTCTTTCAACTCACAAGACGCCGCCGGAAGAAAGCATCATCGCCATGGCCTCCGGGAACCGCTGACAAGCCGAGAAGCAGCAGTAACGCCATCGTGCAAACGGAGGGCGTCGCGCCGTAGAGGGCCATGACTCCTGCGAGAGTTGGACTAAAAAGGTTTGGCGACTAAATGGTGCACCGAGAGTAACTAGTATCCCAGTTACAGCTTGCACTAGCAGCCTTTATTGCAGTTATCGCTGTTAACTTCCATTAATAATGCACAGGCATCTTCAGTAGTTAATGGCGCTCAATATCAAGCATAGAGAACATAGTCAGCAAAGATTGAGTTGATATTTCTGCAAAGAGTGTTTGTTGTTTTGTCGCTCGGAACAAATACCAAAGCTCGCTAAAGAAACAAAACAAAAATATATCTACACAAACAACGGACGAAAAAGAAGAAGAAAAAAGAGAAGGCTGCAGCGAAAAACATTCGGGAATCACACGAAATATGGAACATGAAAATGAAAATCGTTCCACGGAAACGTTGGTAGTACGTATTGCATGTAGACCGCAAGTGCGGGTGTACAATAAACTGTACTGTACAATAAACATGATCGCATCGCTCTGTTGTTGTTTTTTTAACAAGAGGTGCGGATTATTTTTTTACGATCCGTAATTCGCGCAATTTTCGGTTGGTGTTCCGCACGTATGTGCAAGAAAGACTGTTGCCAAACTAATGGACATTTGCGAAAAAAGAAAAAAAAAATTCGAGATTGGGTTAAGGATTTAAGAATAGAAAAGGCAGATAAAAAGGGGACAAACAACGACTGTCCCTCGGCTGGAGGCCATCTTCCATTTTTATCTGTGTCTTCCAGTGTTGGAACATTTGTCTTCCTTATCCCAGTAGATAATGGGGATAGAGAGCTCCGTCAACGCAGACGAGAGAAAAGGAGAAAAAAAAACACGCCCGCGTTTCTTTAACCGAGCTGTTCATATGCAGCATCTAGAACCCTTATCAACATGCTCGATTCGCTATCCTACAACTGACCCCATAGGGTTAAGCTCTAACTCTCGGAAAGGAAACGATCGCATTTCTCACCAAAGACTCGGGTATGCAGCAGCTCAGGCTCAACGTTCCTTGGTCCACGGAATCGCTGGAACCGAAGCTTAGCTCTGGGAGTTCTTGAGTCGTCGGCGTCGAGGTTCGCTGTGCACGGGTCCGGCCTGTGGATGTCGGGGCTCTTTATGGCGGGGAGACTCCGGTTGCGTTTGCGTTTGTACAAATTCCCTCATTTCCGGTTCCAGTTGTTTCTCCGCCGAGCGAGAAGCCAGAAGACCGCTTGACCACGCCGAGACAGACGCCAATGAGCCCGTTATAGAACGCCAAGTGACCTCCTCGAGTTCCCTTACGTCGCGTATGGTTCTGCGAACAACACAGCCGAGACTTCGACGGGCGCCTGTCGCTACTCGGTTTTGGTGTTGCTTCGTTGGTGGAAACTTTGTTCGTGATTTTGTAAACTTTATCGACCGATTTCTTGAATATATTGGTCTATTAAACTTACCGGTTGTATTGATTGGTGATTTCAACATAGATCTAGTGTCCCCAAGCCCTATGCGTAGGCTTTTTCTGGATGTTGTACAGACATATGGATGTGAAAATGTCATACGCGCTCCAACACAAATTACGTCAAGTTCTCAAACATTAATTGACGTATGTATTTCTAACTAGCCAATTCAAAATGCGATTGTTGGTATTTTAACATGTGACCTTAGTGACAACTTGCCGATATTTTGTTTTTTTGCCATGTATGAAAAAGAAGACAAATTATACCGCTCAAGAAATTACAGTTCTACTAAAATATATTAACACCGATAGCATGAATTATTTCTTTTTTACTGTGGTATCAAATCTAAACTGGACTGTTGTTTACAACGAAAGTAGTCCCAATATATCGTACGATTTATTTTTAAACAAAATAAAACGCTGCTATGATTTGGCATTTCTATTGAAACCTGTCTATAAGCACAGAAAGTCTAGAAAGCCATGGATAAAGCCGGATGTTTTTAGAAGAATTAATAAAAAAAACCAACTCTATTATAAATTTATCAAACTAAGGGATGAAAGTTTATTGGTCCAGTACAAAAAAAAAAAAAAATAGATTGCCAGCAGACAATAAAAAAGGAAAATTACGTCATCACGAACAGAAATTTCCGGCTTTTTCTAGTGATCCCAAGAAAATATGGAAACAAGTGGGCAGCCTCATTTGTCAGCCAGCCAGATATCACTACTGGCGGTGGTACATATGCAAATATAGCACTGTCAAACGAATCTAACTCCCATTTTCTACGCTCGAGCAGCTTAGAAAGCTGCTCGAGCTTAAGCTCTTCTCATCTGAACATGAACTTTAATTTAGGTTCTTATCTTTCGGTTTTAGAAACAAAATCAATTTTTCTTTCTCCGATTGCTGAGGGGGAAATTATTACCTTGTTACGAGCATTAAATAGTAATACCTCGGCAGGTCAAGATTATCCGGTGCCGATTAAAGCTGTGTCTCGCCTCATTAGTGCGCCTCTGATTCATATTTGTAACATTTCTTTATCTGCAGGAAACTTTCCTGATAAAATGAAGGTCGTTAGAGTGTGTGTTTTGCGTAAAGGTGGGTCATTGCATGATATGAATATCTATAGGCCCATATCGGTACTACCATTGTTTTCAAAAATCCTACAACAAGTCATCAATGCCAAATTGGTCTGTTATCTAGGTAAGGTTATCTAGGTAAGGCAACAGAAATATGGGTTTCCGAAGAGAAAGTCTACATAAATTGCGTCATTAAACATAAAAGATAAATTAATCAATAATTTTGAAAACCAGCTATATACAATCGGAAGTCTTCTAGATTTTCGAAAAGCTGTCGACTCTATCAAACATTATGTGCTTCTTCAAGAACTCCCATTCTACGGAATAAGTATCCATTCCGTATTCTAGGGAATAAGTACAAAGTATCCCCATTAAACTTTATTCGAAACTACTTACCTCATGGCTTACAATCAAATACACTGTCATCAAGGGCGGCTTCCAATCTGAGCTGAAGCAGATGAAGTATGGTGTTCCCCAGGGGTCAATTTTAGGTCCGTTGCTTTTCTTTTGTACACGAATGACCTAGTTAACATAGCACAAACTCCAAATATTATAGTATATGCCGACGACACTGATGTGTTTTTTTTTTACAGATACAAATTCTAATAAGCTTGAGAACATGGTAAACACTTGGCTCGAACGAATATCACTGTGGCTACAGCTAAATAAACTAGAATTGAACATCAATAAAACAAGATACATTATCTTCAAGACGAGAAATAAAGCACATGACCATAAAATTCCAATAAAATTCCAAACCGTGATAATCGAGCGAGTGCCCTCTCACAAATTTTAGGTGTGTGATTTGAGGAAACGCTAAACTGGTCATGCAACAAAAACCATGTTTGTGGTAAAGTATCTATATGAGTTAGTATTCCGAATAGATTTTAGCATCTCCTCCCCAGCTGGCTCGAGCTTCAACGGTACTACACCCTTGTTCATTCACATCTTCATTATTGTCTGTTAGTTTGGAGGTCGGCTACAAAAAGCGATCTTAATAAACTCGTTGTTTTTCAAAAGAAAGCAGTTCGCTGCATCGAAAACTTGCCTTCAAGAAAGCATACCGCCCCTTATTTTTCAAAGTATTCCTTATTGCGTGTTGAAGAACGTTTTAATGTTAAATTTGCCATAGAAATGTATAAAAATATAAAAAAATGACCAAGCGGAATTTCACGAGCTGTATCCTCGTAAAAAAAAAAAAAAAGATGCAATAGAATTTTAGAGAACAAAAATATGGCAAACCAAAGACGAGAACAAATTATGGATTACAACGATTGGAATATCAGGTACATGAATTTTTAAACAGATATCGGGAGGTTGAAGATATGATTATAAGTGCTATGTCGTTTTATAGTTTTAAAAGGAGTGCAAAAAATTACTTCATTATCAGACTCTCCTTAGTGTTAATTTGTGCCTGACATTCTCTCAGTTCAACTTTGTTATTTATTTAGTATTGTATAAAGTAATAATTTCTGCATAGGAAATTATGAGTGTTTTGTATGGTCAATGCGTGACCGCTTTTGACATGTACGCCGATGATCAGTTATTGCATGCATTTTCTTTATTCCTTTTTTATTTATTTATTTATTTATTTTCTGAGTGATGTGTAGGGCTGAGGGGGCCTCGTCAGGCGGCGTTAGATCGCCTTTTGCTTCCTCAGCCTAGGCGCAAGGTCTGAATAAACGTATTATTATTATTACGAGTAAACGGTCCGATGGAGAATATGAAACCATGATTTATACCTTAGTTCTACCCTAGCTACACAGGCAGCCTTTAAGTGTGACTGAGGTCAGACTTAACTGCGGTGAGAGTTACTCGAGTAAGCACGGTATTAAAGGAATAGCATTTGGGTAAGCTCTTGGCGCTTTAGTGGCCGTGCCGTGTAGCTTGCACGATGACCTTCACTTTGACGACGCCACGGTGTTCAAGTGATGTCATCAGCGTGATGGTCATCACGTGGCACTGGCGTAATGCGACACCGTGATGTCGCGGGACACTGTGACGTCATGGTGCCCCGTGACCTGATGTCACATCACGTGGTCATGTAACGTCACGTGACGTCAGATATTATGATGACGTGACATCGTGACGCCACGCCACGTCATGACGTCAGGTAACGCTTTGACATCACCGATGATCAACAGGGTGTTTTGAAGGCTGTTGGGGCGTAAACAAAAATCGTACAAACAAACCAACGAACGGATTTAAAACTTTTCAGTGTCTTTAAGTGCTGCATTTATCATACCCAAATTTGATGAGTGTAAGTTTTTAGAGAGAAAAAAGAATTTAAGCCTAAAAAAACGTTTTTTTTTTTTCTATGCACAGTGAGGAAAATCACAAAAAGACCTTCTGGTTGACGCCACTACTCACAGATGGCAGCACACACGCTTGTATCTGCATGGATCTGATTTCGAGTATTCATCATGTCAAAGAAGCTTTCACGTTTTTGCTTTATGCTGCACCATCTGTGAGGCGGTTTTTGCTCTTTTTATCCTTGCGCATAGAAAAAGATACACACACAGAAATACAAGTTTATTAGGCTTAAATATTTTTAGCTGAAACCTACATTCATGAAAATTTAGTATGATAAATACACCAGGTAAAAACACCTCTGTGAAAATTTTAATTGAAGGCAGTTTATTGGATTATATATATACAATTGTTTTACGACCGAACGGCGCTCGGAAACACCCTGTAGAATGCCTCTAGTTGTTTAGTAGGTGCTAAGGTACCAGTTTTATATCTAAGTGCCTAGGTGCACATACCTAAATACGACCTACCTAAAAAAAGACACTTGCAAGAAAAGCATTGGGTGCCCCAAGCGGACCTTCCTCTGTAAAACTAATGTAAAACGAGCCGGAAAAATCGGCATCTGCACATATAGCCTCAAACTGTCACCGAATGTGCACTGAGCAGGTCAGTCTCACCTTGTCAAGTTTGAAAGAACGTGGTTCTCTTCCCTGTATATATATATATATATATACTGTACTGGGCCGATCATATATATATATATGATCGGCCCAGCACACTTCTATTTATTCTTCTTTTGTTTACCTATGCACATACTCTTTATACGTCAAAAACCACAAAAAAAAAGTATTTTAGCATTTGACTTATATTGGTAGCCTGTAGGGCAACAGCATAAATTTAAGCCAAGTCACACATTCGAAAAAGCATGCACTGTATTTAGTCGCGAAGGGGTGTCGTGAATGAGGTTGGCAAATCGAAACCGAAACGGTAACCAAAAGGTACCCAAGGTGCTTTGTGCGTTGCAACTCAAGAAGGTAGGGCGAGAGTAAGGCGGGCTGGGGAAGAGGAAGCAGACGGAACGCTAAAGAGAGAAGGAGCCGGAGACGACAAACGAAAAAGGGGACAACACACAAAACGTCTCAATCAACCAGCTCGCTTGCCTACTCACTTTATCTTCAAAAGAGAAGGAGGTTCCCCCTCTCTTCTCCAGCTTTCCGTCTGCTTCCTCCTCTCCAGCTCGTCTTACCCTCGCCCTGTCTTCTTGAGTTACAACTACAGTGTTGTTACAACGGACTATAGGAAGTATTCACTGGCGGCCATAGCTGTGGCGCCACTGCTGAGCGCGTGCTGATGTCGAGCTTCTACATTTTTTTTTTTTTTGTAACTTGCATCCCGCACCCTCAAGAGTGCCGGCTCGTTCTGAGCATGCACTCTAGACAGCTCCCACAAATATGGCGCCCAGTGAATACTCCTTATAGGATTGCTTCGATTTTGCAAGAGGTATATCTTACCGCACAAGTCACGCACTGAGTGCAGCAGTGCGTGCTGGCCAACTCAGTGAAACAAAGGGTGTCCTCACCCTGAGACAGACAGATACGTAGGCTAGGGTGCCTTCATGTGCGCTTTGCTTGGGGCGATGACATCCGGACGTCTTGTTCCGAACGCGTACTTTCCTTTTTTTTTTTTTTTTTTTTCTTTTTTTTTTTTTTTTCGAAGCGCGTAAAAGAGCTTTCTGCACGGGCTCTTGAGGCTTACTGTGCTACGGCAACAATTTGTTTACGGTGATTTTTTTATTTTTTTTTTTTTGTATTTTCTTTATGAGCGCGTGCTGTCGGCATTTTTGAGATGTAACACCATGGCTGTAACATACTGTAGGCAGGTCCTTAAGCGGTATTCACACGAGGGAGAAATCCCGGGGATTTCTCCCCGGCACGCGCGCATCACGAGATGAAAACGCGAGGCTTTTGCACATCGCAAAGCCTGACGTTTTCTTCGTGGGATGCGCATGCCGGGGACAAATCCCCGGGATTTCTCCCTCGTGTGAATACCCCTTTAAGGTCCGTGTTTCAACGGGGGCTCTCACGAATATGAATGGGTGCAATGCAAACGAGCGCTCAAAGTCAAACGGCTGAGATGCACTACTTCGTCAACGGGGCAATAGAAATCGAAACCATGCCACTCCTCTCCATGGCCAAAAGATGGCCAAAGAAGTCGTAGGTTATCGAAGGCACGCACACATTATTAAAATTAAAAAAAAATGATACTCATTATTTTTTTTTTTTTTTTTTTTTGTGTGTGATTTCTAAAAAGCTACAAATGCCTTGTTATGGGGGGAGGGGAAGTATCACGGCCACGTGACTTCCGCCACCTCTCTCCTCCTCTATATTTCTTCTTCCTCCCGTGTCCGGTTTCGGTTTCGAGCAGTTGTGTTTTTTTTTTACTTTATTAAAATTATACGTGACGCTGTAGCAAACTATTGATTGGGTCGTCTTCTGACATTACAATGAATCGCCTGGCACAATGAATCGGTGACGGTACCGGCTGCTCTTCGGCGCGTTTTCGGCGGGAGTGCGACCGTGCGACAGTCCTGTTTACACTTGCGCGTTGCTGCGGTTCGACGAGTTTTCGGTGGGCGCGCGACTGACGTTATCTCGATTCCAAGCGTCATGGCGAGCCGCGGCACGTACCGCCCACCAAAGGACCTCAAGACGAAGGTAAAGATACTGCAAGAAGTTGACCAAGGCGCACTTTCTAAAATGGAAATAGCGAAGAAACACAGCATCACGAAGAGCGCTCGAAGCGCTGGACACCACCGCGCGCTACTTCTCTTGCCAGGAGAATGCGGATGCCGCGTTAGAGCTGGTCTCCAAGCTCCAAGCGATCTTTGTTGATTCACGACTGAGGAACCGCGCACAGGCACAAGCATTACGGATTGCTTCCCTTTGTGATCGGTGAAAATAAATGTCCTGGAACTCGTCACTCATGTGCTAGCTCAGTGCACATGCGCCGCCCAACGCAGCGCTGCACGTAAGTACTCCATTTAATGAGCTTTCGTTAATTCGAACTTCGTTTAATTCGAACAAATTTTCGGTCCCCCTCGAGTTCGAATTAACGAGATCCGACTGTAGATTAACCCGTCACTCAAAATTCTTACAAAAGCAGCTTCCCTCTCCTCCGCTTACATGGTGGTCAAAAGTAAGCGATGTGACGTCAGTGCAGCCCATGTAGAGTAACATTGGTCCTGCTCCGAAATGACGTCACTGGCGGCGGCACGGATGGCTGCATAGTGGCTAATCAGGAGTTAGATGTCATAAAGAGCAACCGCGTCTTATCAGCTGCCACCTGTCTAACACCAACAAGGGTGAACGGCCTGCATTTTAATTTTTAAGGTTATGATGATAATGCAATTATTGCAAAAGTGCAAGCGAGATGGACAAAAAATAAAAATGCAGGTCACTCACCCTTGTTGGCGTTAGACTGGTGGCAGCTGAAAACCCGTTTGCTCTGCTGACGAGTAAATCCCAGTTAGCTCAGTTGGTAGAGCGCTCCACTGGAGATGGAGGGGTCCCTGATCCCATACCAGGCATATCTTTTCTGCCACGCACCAGTCACCTAGCTGTGTTTGAAGATGTGTTTTTGTCCTTTGTCCCCCTTGTTCCCATACACCCGGAATTATTATCGTAACTATTGTCCAGCTCTTTTGCACCCTCGCAATAATTGCATTATCGTCATAACTTTAAAATGAAGGCCGTTCACCCTTGTTGGTGGTCTGGTGGCGGCCGACAAAACCCGTTTGCTCTACTGACGTCCACCTCCTGGCAGTGGTTAGCTCAGTTGGTAAAGTGCTCCACTGGAAACTGAGAGGTACCTGGTTCAAGATTAGACGGGTTTTTTCGGTCACGCACCAGGTCACCTAGCTGTATTTTGAGATTTGCGTTTGTCCTTTGTCCTCCTTGTTTCCCTTCTCCAGGGATTATTATCGTCACTCTAACCATCCCTTATTTTATTCTGCCCTTTCAGGGACCTTTGCACCATCATCCTCACTGAATTCCTGGGGAGGGTCTAAACAAAGAGAACTACCTTTCAAGGGACAACAACAAAAGTGATGTCTGGAATCTTTATTTCAGTTGGTAACAAAAAGAATGGTAGATTCGGGGTATGAGCTGCAATGCTTGCAGCCCCTAAAGCTCCTAAACCAGAAATGTGTGTACCCCAAAATTCGCACAACGTCGGCACTCCGCAAAGTCCTAGGGTAAACACAGGTCATGGGTGAACATATCACCCGCTTCGGGGATGGTGTAGAGAAACTAATGAGTGCTTCGACACGAGAGTTCTTGCGGCTGAGGTATTTCCTCCAGCAAGGAGTTCACGCTTGCAGTTTTTGCCGCAGTACATCTTACAGTGAAATGCAGTGTAGAGCGTAGTGCTGATATGAACAGCTACGTAACCTAGCATTCTTCTCGTGCGAACTGGCCAGCTGGACAACACCTCAAGCTGCCGACGTTTTGAAAAAAGCTGCACATTAGAGCTAACATTGTTTTTCAACATCCTAGCTCAGCATCGGCTTGTCCTCTCCTATGGTGCATATCAGCATGTGCTTGTTTCATGCTTAACGACGTCAAAGCGCCCCGACGAAGATGAGACGAGTGAAGGACACTTTATGTCCGTTCCCAGACATTGATAGTTTTCATAATTTGTGGTTCCATCTATCAGATACTCAAACAAGGTCAGTGGTATCCCACTACAACTGCAAACGAGTAAAATATTTGCTACTGTTGCCTCCTAGCAGTTGAATAGCAAGGTATGTAAAGCTCCAAGTAATTATTTAATATGACAATTTCACTGTACTGCGCTAGGTTTCTGATTGTAGTCAGGCAAGCTAGAGCTAAACTAAGCTGCAATGTTCGATGCCATAGTATCTAACAAGCATACAGCAACAGTAACAACCCCCCCAAAAAAGTTTGTTTTGCTCAGATTGATAATCTTCAAACCAACATGGCTTCTGGCAATTGTGCTTCCATCCTAAGACACTGTATACTGGTGTTTCTGTACAAGGGACTAGACTTGAGAGGAAGGCAAATAGAACATGCTCTTGCTTTTACATTCCTTTGACGAACACAGTGACAAAAGAGACATATCGACGACGAGTCCAAGAATAAGTGCCACTTATTCATGAAATTTCTTCAATTTATAACTAAGAATTGGGTTTTAGTCTTTAGAAAACCGAAGTACACCCCTGATCTGCTAAGGGAATGGTAGAAATCAATTGACTCACATATAAAAGGTCTGCAAGTTAATTGCTCTGAATACTTATTATGCTCATAAGATTTCAAACAGCATACAAGTTGAAAGTGGAAAATACTTCGAAATCAATTCAGTTAAGGGCAAACATGACAGGAACTGAGGTGACGTCAAACTCAAATGAGGTACAAGTGTACAAGTGTGCTTACTGTAAATTAAGAGTTTTCGTTGCTCTACCACTCATGCAACAAACTTCATTGTGCTGATGTTGCTGTATTTATCAACTTTTCGATGAGCTTGATGAATTTTGCTGGCAATAAACTGAGGTAACTTTTGGATGGTATGATTGTGAATAAATTACTGCAAGGTTGCCACAAGATTAAGGTGAAATCCAACGTGCAAGAATGCAACCCCTTCAGACCTTGACAGGAAAATGACAAAATTATCTCAAGACCACTCCACAATCGTATCAAGATCATGACAAAAAACGGGTAAAACTACGACACCCTAGGGAATAAGACTGTTCATTCACGAAGACCATGTTGCATAAGTTGCCACATTGGAGTCTCACACCTCAAAAATGCTGCAAGAACATCACTGAACAGACGGCTTCAGACAGTTTCACCAGCTTCTTGAAGACGGTGACCACATATGCATACAGCATTGCTTTGCTCCTTGGTGTGCACAGGTAAATTAGTTTGCTCTAAAGGCCCGTTCAGAGCCGAGTGCCTTGAAACCTCTTAAAACTTCGTAGGACGAGAGAACACGCTGGCGCCATCTATGCGGTGACCCTGGAACTGCATTTCACTAGAGCAAAGGTTTTGTGGGGTTTTCGAAGTCAAATGTGCTTAACACCTATGAGAAATGGTTGTTTATAACGTTGACAAAAGTTTTTCAAGTCAACAAGAAAAGGATGAAGCGCGAGAGAAATAGAAAATATGTGGGACCGCCAAGTTTCCACTGTTACCCAATAGATGGCGCCAGTGTCTCCTCTCGTCGTAAGAGATTTTAAGACGTCCCAAGGCACTTGGTCTTAAGTCACGAGTGTGTGAACGGGCCTTAGGCGAGCACATCTTTATGAGGCTGGATCTGTGTTGCGTACCAATTCACCGATGTTGGCATGAAAGCCACAATTTCTCTTTTTGTTTCATCTGAGCCACACAACCCGCTTTCGTACTAAAACCAGGCTGCGAGCCCCCAACATCGCCGAACAAGTCGCCGCATTGTTGGTCGCAGAGCGCCACCTGCACTTTGGAGCATGGCTGCCGTGATAGCTTCCCCCACTAACGCATGTGTACGAATGGCAGCTTAAGCGAATAAGTATTGTATCATTCATACAACTGTGCAATCTAAGGATTTCTTTGTCACCCTGAATATGGGAAAGACACAGCACCTCCAGATTCGAAGGACCATTTGTACACCCAGTATCAATCAAATTCAGTTTAAATGAGCCACCGTCAGTTGGCCTTTTCAATGCACACGTTTTTTTGCATAGCAAATGTCGTTTTACATGAAACTATTTCTTCTGCACAAATGTGGTTGCAATGCTGCAGAGTTCTCATCATCATCGAAGGTGGGCAAGAGAACGATGACAAAGTTGCGTGCGACGGCATTTCAGATCTTTCCGAAAAAGGTTGCACCACAAGAAGTGACCTCTGTTCGCAGAGGTACGCTCCGTTGTCACTTTGTCGAAGACCGTCAGTTCAAGCCGATACTTTTCCAAAGCGCACGCATTATACGCACGCAGATCTACGACCCAAATTCTTGCCTCAAATTCCTCGAACCATTCGTGGAGTCTGTACCAAGAAAAGTTGAACCCATCTGGGCCGCCAAAAAAGACGACAGTGCACGCCAAAGTCGCAATCACATTCAAGCCGCAAACACAAAACGCAGGGGGACGATAAACAAACCACACACGACACAAGCCGATCTATCTTGAACCAACGTCACTGTCCACCGTCGCAATGTCCCGTCCAATCGCAGCACTCCAGTCTCAAACTGCCGTCGCGACCAGGGCCTCCTAGAAAACAAAGCCTTATAGTGCCGAATTCTCCTGCGTTACAAAAGAAGACCACCGTAGGGCACCGGTTGGACGTTCAGACTGGGGAGAGAGCGAGGGGATGATTGAAAGGGAGGAAGGCCAGGCTGGGTGCACAGCTCTAGCAGACTGCTCTACACTGGGGGTGAACGAGGGTAGAGAGAAAAAGACTGATAGGACAAAATGACACCGCAAAGGAAATGTGGACGACGATGGGGTGATTTGAGCGAAGTCATCTCCCGTCTTAGAGGGTTCAATGCTGGCCCCTTGTATCGCAAAAAGACAATCGGGCCGTTGGTTGCCTTAACAAAGCGTCAAATTGAGCCTTGGCCGCCCAAGCACTTTCTCGACGGTAAGCAATCTGTCGTTCACGTCGGAATGTGTCACTTTTAGCCGGCGAAAACACGAGTTGCAGCCGAAAGCCGACTCGGCACACGTGTCCAAAATGCGCCCTATGGTGGGCTCCTTCGGTGATGCAGGAAAGTCCAATCGTAAAGCGTGAAACACGAGTTGGCAAAATTAGAGTTGCGTTGCACCGCTGGGCGACGTAACCATAGCAACTGTTGCAGATGGCACGACGTAGCGTCATAGCGTCGGCAGCGGTTGCTATGGTTACGCCCCTCGGCGACGCGGTTTTCGTTCGTGTGTGTTTCGCTCCTAAGGCTTTCTTATCTAGGGGAGATGTTGTGACCCCCCCCCCACTTCACGCCCCTCCCCACTTAAATTAGGTAGTCAGTCCTAGCGCGTAATCACGGGGGACGCTCGTCAAATGAACTCGATGCCCTCGAACTTGTAGTCGCCGATCTTGGTCTCGGGATAGAGCACCTTCCCGTCGGCGACGCGGAACACGGTCACGAAGGTGGCCGTCTTGCCCCGGTGTTCCTCCGACTTGAGCGCGACGATGAGCGAGTCCCTTTCGCTGTGGGAGAGGGCCGGCACAAACTTGAGCGAGGAGAACCCATGCGTCGGGACCAGAGGCCCCACCTGCGTGTGTCAAAACGAGCAGTGAGCGCGTTTTATTTCTTTCTTTCACTATACTATCAGTCCCTACAATAAGGACTATTAAAGAAGTGAGCAGTAAAAAATAAAAATAAAAAAAAAATTGGCAGCACCCTTTATTTTCGAAGTTCTATAATGCATGAAATGCAGTTGTTTAATTTTGTTTAGAAGACATTAAACTAATCTTGTGTGAATATTCAAATAGTAGCTTCAAATAGTATGCTATTCGATATTCGCTTCGAGGTGAACTGCGATATTCATACTTCTCAAAGTGTTGATTGCGGCGGGCTAAGCACAGTTGAGTGCACTTCTGACCGACCACCCGTGCTCTGCGGGAAAGCAATACAGAGAAGCCTGCGAGTATTGCTTCCCTGCGGTGCACAAGTGTTCGGGGAGAAGTGCCCTCAACGGGGCTAACCCATCGCAATTATGCAAGAGCATATTTTAGGCAACAATGTCTTGACAGCCCTCAATCATCAATCAGGCTCGTTTTTTTTTTTTTTTTGACAGATTTGAAAGAAAAGAAGGAATAATGCCATATAGCAAGCAGACTTATAAATCCCCTCGATTCGGATGGCTGCGGCAAATCTCTCGTTTCCACGCCACAGTTCATATAGTTATACAGTCATGTCGCATTAATATGGGTGCCTCCGTTCCCCAAAAAGTCGCCCATAATAACAAATCAGTGTCGAAACACACACATCAACAAGTGGAGAGGGGAGTGCCTCTTTCTTTTCTTCTCCAACCCAAGCAGTTGGAGAAGAGGGAAAGGAGGAACTCGTATTTGGACCCTCTTTTGTGTGTTCCCACAAAGTCTTCCCCGTTCGGCAAGTTACGGTGAAACGGAGCATAGAAGAAATTATCTTTGTGGACCCAGATCTTCCGTCCCTTTCGCCAAACAGTGAAGAGTTCTACAGTGAGGTGACCTAGCTGCTTCAGGGTTCATTCTTTTTTGTTGTTCCCGGATGTAGGTCATACACAATCTCAACCAACAACAGACTGCAAGTGGTAATGACTCACTTTACATAAAAGACAAAACAAAAACATAGTTTGGTGTGCAGCTCTTATCGCAAGATTTGCAACAAACATCCGTGGGCACACTAGGACATCCCTGGTTCACTAATATCTCGGGAGTTTTTTGACGTTTCATTTTTAAACTGGGGTATGGGTGCTCATAAAAAGGAGACAGAAGTGCCTGTATTTTCCCAATTCATCCCCAAAAATTGCTGCCTATGGTCCAGACTGCAGGTTTACATGTTGGCAGGGCGAAATTGCATGGCGGAAGATCGGTCGCCGAAAATTTCGTCCATAATGCAGCATGTCCATATTAACGAGACATGACCGTATTAAAATTAACTGAGCTTAGAAGTGGACACGTAGAAGGACGAGAACAACCATCACAAGTTCAACTGATTTTTCGTTTAGGCATGGTGCACGGTAGTGAAAGAATGAAAAACTATTTGATATTCGAATGGAAAATGTTGGGCCAAAACCACTATTTGCTTCGAATTAGCTTTGAACTCAAAATCCACTATCTGCACGTTAAAGAGTTGTTTTGGGGAATGAAGGAGCTACATTTTTATGAATTTCCCCACAAAATGTAGCGGAGAAACTCACGGTGCATACGTCACGTGACGTAAATTTCCTCGCTAAATTTAACGGGAACTGCGCAGATACATGGACGGACGGATGAACATAACTTTAGGATTAGAGGGGAGGGGAGGTGGGGGGGGCTCCGCCAAAAAGCCTTTCATGGTTCAAAATATTGAGAAGACCAGGCAATTTTGCGATTGGGAGTGGTAGTCAACTGTTCGTCCCTAAAGGGCAATATGTATCCAGGATCTTTTCTTTGCAATATTACTTAAGTTGCAAAATAAAAAATAAATAGGCCTTCGCATTAATAAAAAAAATTGTTTTCTAACAGTATAACAAGGAGTGTATTTTCTACAGATTCTGCGTTAAAAGCAACAAAAATGTTGCTATCTGGCTGGTTCCTAGGAGTTGCTAGCTGCAGGTGTGCAGGTGCAGGAGATGAGGGGGAAGATAACAAGCACATTCTTCGGAGGAAACAGGAAGGCATAAAATGGGAACGTCAAAGCTGGCGTCTGCGACCACAAGAGGTGTGAATTTCGTGTTCCGTTCCCGCTGGAGTGCTAGCTTTGGTGGGGCTCTCTTACAGAGACGCTACGCACGGCGGTCTTTGCACCGTTGAGGCACAAAATATGTACAGAGTTTGTCCGTGGAACATCACCGCACACCAACACAGAATAGATTTCGTGTTACCAATGCCTTTTTGCTTTACATCTCCGTGAACAGGTGCACTACATATTGACTAGCTAGTTCCCTTCTCAGTCTAGTACAGCCCTTACTCAAATGTTAGGTTGTTTGGCTCTTATCCACTGGCCATCTGTGAGCTTGTATGAGCGTTGCTGCCGTTTAATTTCTCCTGTGTTGACAAATCTGTTTTCTATTGCCCTGCGAAAATTACTCCAGGACGTAAGTGTCCAAATTAAAAGTGAAGGTAGTCGAAGCTGGTAGGAGAAACTTTGAGTAAACTCCACAAGCCTTCAGATAACAGCCGATGCTTTCTCGAAGAGAAACCAGGCCCCTTAGCAGAATGTCAGCTGCTTATCTGAGATTCCCACGAGCTCCCTCTCAGCTCCAGGAAACAATAAAGCTGCAATCTTTTGAATTTTATGGTGGCGTATGAAGAATGAAGTTCCACAAATTGTGCACAACTACAGCAACTTGGATGCTATATTCACCCGAGTAATTTGTGCACTGCTCACAAACACAGCCTGCATGCCTACTTTCGTGCAGAGCACACAGGCAGACAATCATTGAGATTGACAGAAGTAGCTCAGTGACTTACGGGACAGAGACAACATCCTCTGGCGAAAACGTCAACCCTGCAATCACATTTTGCCAAACAACCATCTTCTCGACATCACCATTTGCCAAGTTTCTTACGTGAAGTGTGAAAATTGGCTGCACGCATGCTTTCATGAAAAGCAGACACGTGGGCCTTGTTCATAGGCAATGCATCTGTTACTTGAGTAAACATGGTACTAACTTCCTAATGAGTTAACTTGGCAACGTTAGGGCTCTAAGTTGGACGCTCGATGCAAAAGTTGGAGATCGTCGACCGCCACGATTGGCTAGCACTGTGCTTGACCTTGGCACTGGCCAATCATGGTGGTCGGCGACGTGTCTCACTTAGAGCCTCTGGTCCGACGTCCCCTTCGGTTGGATGGATGGATAATAACGGCTGTACCAGGCACGTAGCCAGGGGGGAGGCCCATGGGGCCCGGCGGCCGCCGCCGCCCCGCCCCGCCCCCCGCCCCCGCCCCCCCCCCCCCCCCCCCCCCCCCCCCCCCCCGAAATCTTCCACTTTGCTGGGACCTCCTCTCCCCCCCTCCCCCTCATACAGCATTTTGTCATGGGCGGGCCCCGCCCGAAAAAAAATCCTGGCTACGTGCCTGGGCTGTACCCTTTATAACGGGCGGTAGCTCGCGCCACATAGCTCGGAAACCAAAAACCAGAAGTATGATTCCTCCCCTCGCCCTTCTCAACCAATTTCCTTTCCCTTTGCACTATTATAACTGTCACCAGGCAGTGTGGGTATCGCCAAAATAACCTTTGAAAGATTAAAAAAAAAAAAAATCACTTTTTTTTTTTTTGAGGGGTGGCAAGGGAGTTGGCAATTTTTTCTGGCCAAACCTTGTTGGCGTTACTCCACCACCGGGCTTACTGGGAGACAGGGTTAAGAGTTCGGGCCGAAGCCACGCAGGATGGAGTCCCAATTTTCCTAGGTCTGGCCTGTCCCCAGCTGTGCTAGTTAGTTGTGCAGAGCAATCCACCTATGACGATAATGAGAAAATCCGAAAATAGAATCGTTAAAGCCAATTATCGTTGTATCTGGACTGGATACCCCATGCAAAAATGCATGGTCCTCTAGCAACTGGTCGTAGTAAGCGGTGCATCGTTATATGTGGCATAGTCATAAGTGGATTGCACTGTATGTCGTTCGATTTTCCCCAGATAGTTATTTTGCACCAGTTTTCCGATCTACTCTTTGTAATTGCAACACCCTTATTACCCGTTCTCCCAATCTCGTCTGCAAACCCCGACCCCCTGGCCGAATCCGTCGCACCCTCCGGAAGGGTGGGAGCGAGCCTTTCAAACGACCTTGAGGTTGCCCACCTGCGACACCTTGGCCCTGGTGAACTGCGGATTGGTGCGGAGGAGCAGGTTGGTGCCCTTCTCCTCGTCCACGACGTCGTTGTACGCCTCCACGCTGGCGCGCCGCGGCAGGAAGAACCACTCGCCAAACTGGTGGCTCCACGCCACCGCCTCGTGGATCATGTAGCCTGCGCACCAAACGCCGCCGGCAGATCAAACGCGGCCGCCACGGCACAGCTTGCACATGCTGCCGGCTCTAATACCGCGAGAGCTCAGCTTACAACTGTTACTGTTTCAATACAGACAGGCTTTTGCTTTTGCGTCGTCTTGAGCCGTCCGAGAGCAGTGACGTAAACTAAACAGTTTTCTGCCGTTTCCCTCCCCACAAAAAAACAACAAAAAAACTTTTTTTAGAACTTTACAGTTGTGAAATTGGGGTACAATAAATACACCAGCTAAAAGATCTTTACGAAAAAGTTTCATTGCACTCGGTTCACTGTTGTGCTTATGTTAATTGTTTTATGCTCTAATGGTGCTCGGAAATGCCCTTTATGACGGAATCTGTGCCCTTGCTACGATGCCTAGAATGCCTTTCCGAATGGTGCGTTGGTCAGCGGTGTAGCAACTAAGGTTCCGTGATTTCGGTATACATCGATATAGTCAGAGAAGCAAACCCAGAAATGGTCTTATCAATATCAAGAAAAGTAAAAAAAAAAAAAAAAAAAAGAGCCACGAATTAGAGCTGTTTTTGAGTAATAGAAACCCAAGCCTTATGGTAAAAGATTGTTACCTCAACCAATCCTGCACACATAACTAAAAAATTACAATTACAATTACTCTCGCCTAAAAAGTATTCAATTAGATTACGATTACTGGAAAAGAAAAATAACTGGCCATTGCTTGAAAAACTAACAGTTACCTTTCTGATCACTTCAGATTTTAGAAAGTACAGATTTTCCGCCGATTTCAAAACCGGTCTTTTGTATTGCTCGTTTATTGGATTAAAATCACCGAATTATAAGCTTATTCATCTATTCAATCCACCGATTTCGGTAAAGCAGTCTCCTGTCGGAGACATAATTCAAGCATTTCTTGGTGAGAAACTTATCGAAACACAGGGCGCACTCGAAAGGGGAGGGAAAAATAGTAATGTTTATGAGTAATTTTAGTAACTTTCAAAAGTAATCAGATTACTCTTATGATTATTTCTTCACTGGGGGATTAGCAGCCAAGCTTTGCCACTGCACTAAATGTGACGCGAATCTTCCACATCGCCCATCCTTGAGCGAGCATTGTCTGTTGCCGGCTGGGTAGCATTTTTGTTTGCCACGTGCCGCCACTATCTCAAGCGTCGCCATCCAAGTTTGGAACACCAATCTCTACCATTATCTCGTCAGCTGAGGCCACGTCATCACCACATGACCTCGTCAGAAGGCTAGAAAAAGGGTCAGCAGGACGGCCGCCTTGGGATTTGCAGCCAAGCTTTGCCGGTGCACTAAACATGTGCGCATCTTCCACAGGTGTGAACACTTAAGTAATTCCTTATTCATTGCCGTATCTCTTGAGTCATTTTGGCTGCAAATCCCATCCGAGTGTATAAATGGTGATTGACGTTGTGACGTACTGAATACGATTCGGAAGGGTCTTGCCCTGCTACAAAAGAAAGACTCACCCGTTATCACCAAAACAGCTTAACATTTCGAGTTTTGGAGCATTTAGTCATTTCAAACTGCTCACTGTCTTTACTGTACTTTTTCTGCTACTGTCGAGACTGGTTATAACGAAGTCGAGAGGAATCTGAAATCACTTCGCCATATCCGCTTTGTTATATCTAGACTCCATAAATGTAACACGCAAAAAAAATACATATACTATATAACACGAGCCTCCACGGGCACATGTTTACCGCGCTTGCAGAAAGCGGTCGAGGCTTCCCTGCATGCGCTCTCTGCTAGATCGGAGGCGCTCTCGCCGACTGCGAGAAGCTACGATCGAAAGAAAATCCTGCGAACTACGTACGAACCGCGCCCAGAGCCCTATCGACAGCTGCGACGACCGCCGAGGAAGACGCCGGCAGTGGACGACATTCTTTAGGTTGATGAACACTTTGTCGAGGATGACAGCACGCTTTTGTTTTGAGGAGATTGCCTTCATTTTTCTCGTCGAGGTGCCGGTGGTGCCTGGACTCGCCATCATTGAGTGGCGATGAGTCGCCAAATCGGTGCTTGTGCGAAGCTAGATTTTCGTGCCCAGGGAGAAACCGCACCCGCTAACGACACCGACACGGAACACGAAGCGAACAAAGCGCGCTCAGCACAGAGTTCACGCTCAAGTTTGTGTTTCGTCGGTATAGGAAGCCTAGATACAAGAAAGGGGGCAACTGCTCGATCGGAGTCATGCGGTTTGTGGGCCGCGTTTGCAAAACGAGCTGCAGCCCACAGCGGTCAAAAACGTTCGAACGGGAATGGGAAATCGTGATCGCTTCGCTCCAGCCGCTATTTCGTAATACCCAACTTCGTTATTAACAGTCGTGACATTACTTTCAACAGCAGGTGACTTTGAGCTAAACCAAGGTCCCACTAATGCTGAACAAATAGATAAACTGCAAGAATCCATTGATAGTCTGATAGCAAGTAGCAATCAAAACCAGAAATCAACAATGGTATTGTAGGCCCGCAGGCACTCGTGTGTCCAGCCTGGAAGTCAGAGTTGCTGAAATCGGCCAAATAACGGAGAACCTGGCTATAGTCACCAAAACACTTGGCATTATGGAGCGGGAATCTGCAAGTGTGCATGAGCAACTTTCTGTGTTAATTAAGGAACTCTCTGGATGACATAAATGGTCTGATGTGCAGAAACCATCTCATTTTTGGCGGCTTGCCGGAACATGTAAACGAAACCTGGAGTGACACAGAAGAAGTGGTATCTAACTTTATCAAAGAAAAATTGATGCCTAACCTTGGCAAAATAGGAAGAGCACATTGAGTGGGGCCAAAGCGTAAAGATTCTAACCGTCTAATGATCGTCCGGTTTCTCAGCTTCAAAGGCAAAGATAATGTTCTCCGGAACGCTGCCTAATTAAAAAATCTGTCACCAAGGGTATGGGTTTCGGAGGATATTTCACTGAGAGCATGTTTCGAAAGAAAAAAAGTTGCTCGATTTTGCCGCCCGGTTTAGGGATCGGCATATTAGGTACAAACTTTTGTTTGATAAATTGCATGTTAGTATTGAAACATATCTGTATGACTATGCTACCGAAACTGTAGCACCTGTTCAAAGGCCGTCTGAGGTTGTCCACGCAGACGTCTGATGAAACCGGAAATTACGTCGACGTTCTGTTAATCTGGCATTGTCCTTTTTTTGTTGTAAATTTTCGTAGTTTACTTTCAAAGCAAGATGAATTTGAATACATTAACGCCTCTTGCGAAACTGACACAATCATTGTAACTGAAACTTGGTTGATGTCACGCGTAGACAGCAAAGAGTTAACACTGAACAAATCACATAACTTATGTCGTAAAGACCACCCAAACACAAGGGGCGGAGGTGTACTCATTGCAGTTGAAGCTAATTTAAAATGAACGTTAATAACTTATGACACGTTTCTTGACATGTTGTGGATACGTCTGCAGCTGGGTTTTCATAAAGTTTTAATCGGTGCTTGTTGTCGTCCGCCAAACACAGACCCCAGTGAATTTCATGATGCCATGTAAAGTTGTCTGGGGCACTTAACAGAAGGACGACGACAATTTATTTCCAGGCGGCTTCAATTTTCCAGGTATAGACTGGGCGACACTTGGTTCCTCATTTCTGTGTGAAAATCCAAGTCACTGCAATCAATTTTTTTTGCCTTGTCTAGCTGTTTCGGGCTGCATTAACTAGTAGCCTCCCCCTGCCTGAGGCACTGCAGTTTTAGACCTATTTTGTTTTGTCAACAGCCCTGACCATGCAAGCACAATAAATGTTCTTGATTTCACCAGTGATCATGCGATTATTCACATTGAAACTACCTTTACCTCTGGAAACCAAGCAAACAATCGCAAGACAATATATAACTACAGTCGGGCAAATATGGAAGCTATGAATATCTCGCTAAATGTACTTTTAGAAGAATTTTCAGCTCATTATGAAGATCACTCCGTCAAAGAGAACTGAACTCTATTTAAGCATGCAATTCAGAATTTGGTGTTAAACAACATTCCTAAAATCAATATCGCACACGACTATCCCTCACCCTGGTTCACAAATTCCCTAAAACATATGTTGAACCAAAAGAAGAGGTTGTTCCAGAAAGCAAAAACTAGCAGAGACAATGACTGGTTCGCACATAGTCTTTGATCAAAAAAGCAAAAAAAAAAATCAAAGCAAAAAAAGTTTTTTTAAAGGCTAACTGCTACATCTGTTAAGAACCGACCCTCGTAAGTTCTGGAAAATTTTAAATCCCAGTGAAACTCAAAGTAATTCGTTGTTCACAAACCAAGAGGATCACTGCCTTGTGATGGCGATGCGGGACATATGTTGAATAGCTTTTCCTCGACTGTGTTCCCTCAGGAATCATTCCCGCTTCCTTTGCCACCAGAGTTTCAATTTGCACCTACGTCTCCCATTTCATACACATAACGGTATCGCCAAACATACTGATGAACTCTTATCTCACTGCGCCATCGGCAATGATGCCATATCGTCAAAGGTACTAAAAATGTTAAACCAGTCAGCCTCTGTTGTTTTATCACTACTTTTTTGGCAAAGTCTTGACACTGGCACTGTTCCAACTGCACGCGGTTTTGCTATCGTCCAACCAATATTCAAATCTGGCATAAAGTCTGACCTCTCCAATTATCAGGCTACCGCCCTCACAAGCGTTCCGTGCAAGGTAAGGGAGCACGTCATTCTTACAGTTATCACGTCCCACTTCGACGGCAATGACCTCCTTCTTTCGAGTCAGCACGGCTTCAGACAAAGCTACTCATGTAATACTCAACTATTTGAGTTCATCATGGATTTGCACTTTAACACTCATGCTGGCACACAGACTGATGTTATCTTCAACAACTTCGCAAATGCATTTGATACAGTCCTGCGTGGTCGCCTACTTTTAAAACTGTCCCATCTTCAAATAGACCCCATCTATCGTAGAATGGACTGCAGCATTTTTGCGTGGTGGAACCCAATCAGTAAGGTTAAACAA